ATTTCAAGGCGCATTTGAAAATGATCAATTGAGGATATCTCGAGGCAAAACACATTCTTTTGAGAACCGATCAACTTCTGCATGCACTACGAAAAAATGGTTCCACATTCGAACACACGTTTTAGAACCTTGAGAGGAGCGAAGTACAGTGTGTTTCATTTGTTTCACACAACTGAGTGTGCGATTGTTCCACACCATCGGAAGCCCTTACGAACTATCTGGAGAGGAAGAAAGTGGTACGTTTTTTTTCAAAACTTCGGCAGATGTTAAGCAGATAGCCGGGAACACAATGCCATACGGGCAGCAAATTGACTTGAACGAAACGCCTCAGTGCTGTAGTATACGGTGTCTGTCAGTTTGATTGATTCATATGTAAGTATTGGTGATGTACAACCTTGCTTACTGGGGTTTGGCTCACGAGCTGTTTCTGTTTTCCATGCACAGAAATTGTCGTGAACACCTGCCTTCGAAGAATCACTGTCCCCTGGTGCTTCCATAGCGTGCATATTACAGTGCTGATCCGTTGAACAGGTTGTTTCCTGGTCAACGTCAGTGTGAACGCTCGACGGGCTTGACAATGAATCTGCAGGTGTTTCCTTTCCATTCAAGTAGATATTGTCAGTGTACACGTGTATGAGTTTAGTAGGCAATGTCATTTGCTGTACCTTGAAAGCACCGGGAATACCAGAGTTAAATCTTCTCCACTCCTCTTCCTACTGTAGTTTTACTCGCACAAGGATGAAATAAGAATCGACAGCCATTCGATAGGGAGTCTTTAGAGGAAACCGAAGTCGTCATGAGTACTAGGCGACTGGGATTACCCACGAAGCACGGGAGCAGGAAATAAAGAGGTGCAATATGCCGCATCGTGAGCGCTACACGGAAACGACATAACAAGAAACCAGGGTGTCTTAATGAAAGAGAATTTCCATAAATTAAGAGCTCATGTAGCAGGTTTCTGATAAGAAAACACCATCTGCGGGACTGCTAGCCGTTGACATGCTTCATCTAGATCTGATTGAATCAAAAGCTATTTATCCTAACAAATTATGTCATTACCTGTTTCTTTGTCCACCATCTATCGGACATAATCAGTTATGTGAAGGCATGTGTGTGGGCACTGTAGGGCGCGTTTCACTCTCCTGAGTTTACAATACACGTATGAAAGGGGAAGTATGACTGCTACTGATTCAAACAGAACGTATAGATGCCCATCAACACCGAATGCCATTTCGATATTCAACTAAGAGAATTTGCGGTGAAATTTCCATTGCATGGTGTTTTGGGGAAAATTCGGAAGGACAAACGGAACTCAATCTGACAGTCATAGCGTTCAATCTGCTTTGTGAGTGCTTCATTTACTGTTGAGTACAATTACATTCGGCTCAAGCCAACTACACACACATACTGCACCTTTGAGAATCAATATAACCTCACAGCCACGAACTCACCAAATGGTGGAATGTCCCGCGGAAGGGCAATGCTTGATCAATGGCTCTAGTGGTGACTAACTTCGAAGTAAATGTGCCGTGTGCGATACACACAATACTGCCGAGTTGATATTATCCAGGGATTTTTATAGTGTTGCGAAGAAATTCCACTATTTTGAATAACCGCAGGAGAAGCCCAACTCGATGGCCCATCAAAACTAACTTAACATTCAAATCTGAACGGCGCAGAATTTGGGTTCAAATGGAATACAAGGTTGACGGAAAATAGAGTATGGCGCCTACCTGATGAGCTCATGGAATATCGAATTGCTTCCAGCAACATTGAGTAAAGTGCTATATCTAGCTCGAAACAAGGTCAAGTTAGCTAACAAAACTTAGAACTCTGTCGATAATATCAAATATCCCAACGCAACGGACATGTTGCGACATTTGACTCGTCGCATGCTGCTGAGGCACTGGCACCCGAATGTTTGGAAACAAGACTGGAAATAAGTCGCATTCGACGTCAGAAAGCGAACTTCATGTACGCCTTCCTTCTGCTAGCTGGTGGTTAAAGTTTGCTTTGTATGCAGTTTCTCGAGAAGTGAGTACAGTTTGTTACAAAATATCAGCGATGTAACATTTGGGTCTAAGGCGGAGGCTGGTTCCTGTGTGCTAGCCACTTCCGAGATGATTTTTCTAATGATACGCAAGCCAATGCGGATTTGTATATAGCCGATATCGAGTTCAGACTTCGACATGGCTGATAACATAAATCGGGATACAGGTGGAAATCCTGATAACTACTAGGGCATCATGCGACAAAGCAGGGTAACACAAATGACGTCAACAATCATTAACCAGACGACCGAATAATTCGAGTGATTTGCTCTGAAGCGACATCCAAAACTTCAAACATTCTGTATGAATTACATTACACATACATTAGGAGACAATTCGGTGAGAGACTACTACGTATGTTTCGAAAAACAATTTCCGGATGATCTTACGAATTCTGGTGCAATGTTTACATACCATGTTACAATGGTATGTATGTATGGATTCTAAACATATCCTCCAAAGAGACCCTAGGGGCTAGAAAATCCATTTGCCAGCCCTGGTGACCTGTTTATGGGAGGCGGAACTCTCCACAAGTAACCAACAGTCACATGACCCGAAGGAGTAAATGGCTGGCAGGCGGTTGGTGGCCTCTAAGCCCCTTGGTGTGAGCGTTTGGGCTGGAAGTTCGAACCAGTTACGAACAGTCGATGCTTAGCGCACAATCGAAGAAATCACTCTCCGTCGTCCGCATGCTAAGCTCGACACCGAATCTTAGCTTGGCCGTCAACCAGGGCGACTATATCCGTTCTTCTTTCTGACTGAAACAGCTGTGGCATATCTAGATAAAATATCCATCTTTCTCAGCCCCAAAAGCAGTCTGTCGAGACTCGACAAACAGACACCACTTACTTCAGCAGCCTTAATCGAGCCGTTGATCGACAAGGTCTGAGGAAAGGCAGTCACGGTACTTCCGTAAACATGAAGCAGGTCGCCTGAAGGAAATTGACTTCACATTCTTCCCGCAGACGAAAGCGGAAAGATCGTTTCGTATTGGAAGGACTCGTTACCATTCGTCTAAAAAAGTGTTCAGCTGTAGCACCCTTTCGGAGACTAGCTGCTATGCCATCCGAAGGGAACACGAGGGCTGGGATGCTGCCAGGTCGCCCAAGCCTAGACAGGGGAAGTCGAAAGGCAGAGGTCGGGTTCGAACCCCTGACCTTCCGGTCTAGATTCGCGCTCCAACCACTGAGCTATCCCACTAAAGTCATTCGTCTGAATGCTCCCCTTTTGGTCTTTCTAGCATGCGTACACCTTGTAGGACGGAGCTTCAATCAGTGTAGCCCAATAGATGATTGCACCACTCAAGGCCAATCACCGTGTCGGGATATACTACGGATATAGACATCCATGTCGTGTACTTTCCAGGTACCTGGAGATAGAGTATGGCGCCTACCTGATGAGCTCATGGAATATCGAATTGCTTCCAGCAACATTGAGTAAAGTGCTATATCTAGCTCGAAACAAGGTCAAGTTAGCTAACAAAACTTAGAACTCTGTCGATAATATCAAATATCCCAACGCAACGGACATGTTGCGAAATTTGACTCGTCGCATGCTGCTGAGGCACTGGCACCCGAATGTTTGGAAACAAGACTGGAAATAAGTCGCATTCGACGTCAGAAAGCGAACTTCATGTACGCCTTCCTTCTGCTAGCTGGTGGTTAAAGTTTGCTTTGTATGCAGTTTCTCGAGAAGTGAGTACAGTTTGTTACAAAATATCAGCGATGTAACATTTGGGTCTAAGGCGGAGGCTGGTTCCTGTGTGCTAGCCACTTCCGAGATGATTTTTCTAATGATACGCAAGCCAATGCGGATTTGTATATAGCCGATATCGAGTTCAGACTTCGACATGGCTGATAACATAAATCGGGATACAGGTGGAAATCCTGATAACTACTAGGGCATCATGCGACAAAGCAGGGTAACACAAATGACGTCAACAATCATTAACCAGACGACCGAATAATTCGAGTGATTTGCTCTGAAGCGACATCCAAAACTTCAAACATTCTGTATGAATTACATTACACATACATTAGGAGACAATTCGGTGAGAGACTACTACGTATGTTTCGAAAAACAATTTCCGGATGATCTTACGAATTCTGGTGCAATGTTTACATACCATGTTACAATGGTATGTATGTATGGATTCTAAACATATCCTCCAAAGAGACCCTAGGGGCTAGAAAATCCATTTGCCAGCCCTGGTGACCTGTTTATGGGAGGCGGAACTCTCCACAAGTAACCAACAGTCACATGACCCGAAGGAGTAAATGGCTGGCAGGCGGTTGGTGGCCTCTAAGCCCCTTGGTGTGAGCGTTTGGGCTGGAAGTTCGAACCAGTTACGAACAGTCGATGCTTAGCGCACAATCGAAGAAATCACTCTCCGTCGTCCGCATGCTAAGCTCGACACCGAATCTTAGCTTGGCCGTCAACCAGGGCGACTATATCCGTTCTTCTTTCTGACTGAAACAGCTGTGGCATATCTAGATAAAATATCCATCTTTCTCAGCCCCAAAAGCAGTCTGTCGAGACTCGACAAACAGACACCACTTACTTCAGCAGCCTTAATCGAGCCGTTGATCGACAAGGTCTGAGGAAAGGCAGTCACGGTACTTCCGTAAACATGAAGCAGGTCGCCTGAAGGAAATTGACTTCACATTCTTCCCGCAGACGAAAGCGGAAAGATCGTTTCGTATTGAAAGGACTCGTTACCATTCGTCTAAAAAAGTGTTCAGCTGTAGCACCCTTTCGGAGACTAGCTGCTATGCCATCCGAAGGGACACGAGGGCTTTCAATCAGTGTAGCCCAATAGATGATTGCACCACTCAAGGCCAATCACCGTGTCGGGATATACTACGGATATAGACATCCATGTCGTGTACTTTCCAGGTACCTGGAGCACTACAAAATTATTTCCTACACATTCAACACTTCGTAACATGCATGCAAAGACGCTATCGACAGAAAACAAACGGACCAGAAGAACCTAAAGGCGTGAAAAATCATTCCATTGTACAAGCTTGCGGACAACCGGCACTACAAAATCATTTCCTACACATTCAACACTTCGTAAACAACATGCAAAGACGCTATCGACAGAAAACAAACGGACCAGAAGAACCTAAAGGCGTGAAAAATCATTCCATTGTACAAGCTTGGACCCGGACAACCGCTTGGTGACCATACCAGTACGTCAGCCTGGGCACGAACACCAATTAGAAGGATTAATTTCTTGTTTGCACATGAGGAGTTGAACGGTTCAACTTCTGGGATGTCGCGAAAAAATACAATTGAGTATGCGGCTCGTTTTCTATTTACCGCTGACAGCAGTACATTCTAACGCTGTAAAAAATCTGCGCTGACTGATTTCTAAAGCAATCTCCAGTAAACAAACAAAGAGCATACGAGACGCATCCGCTTGATTGACGCGCATCTAGTTCTAAACCATCCTCGGACAAAGTCTCCCAAGGATCCGAATATACCGGAATAATGCGATCAAGGTCGCAACGACCACTGATGGAGACAAAATGTGAATGAATGTATTTTACAACTGTATCACCGATAACCAATGTGACTGTGAAAATATACAATGATGATAGTGAACCGGTGATTGATTGGTACCTGTTGAGAGTATCAAGTGGATGATCACGATCAGTAAGGTGGGAAGTGGAGAATGTTTTGTGAAAGGGAGAATCGTATGCTGGTTTTGGAAGGAGATAAACGAGTATACAACCGTTAGGGTGTTGGCTGGGGACGAAACCTTGACTGAACAAAAGGATCGGCTTCCGACTGTCTGCTACTAGCCGATTCAAATATCGATACACTACTGCTGGTGGTTGTGACAGCACTGGAGCCGGATATACTGGGGCTGATAGGCTGGGTAGATCCTTGCAGCTGACTCGTAAAAGAACGAGGTTCACCGCCGGAAAATTGATAGCCGTAGCTGAATGAACCCAGTTGGCTTTGGGCGCCGGGGCGAACCTGCTGAAAAATGGTAGGTGACTGATGGCGAACGGATTGATTCGGTCGAGAAGTGAGCACACTCGGAAGAGGGCAGGAGGGTACTGACAGTGTAACACGACCATGAAGGAAGCCACTGCTACTGGAAGCCAAGCGAGTGCCCATATGGGATATCGGGAAACTTGAAGTGCTCGTGGCTGTGATGGCCCTCACGAAGGTGGGCTGGATGACGGAGCCACGAAGCTGAAAAGATGGATCCTGATTAGATCACCGATAAAAAAATACGTGCTTAAAGCATAGGAAATGAGGAGTGCATCGCCAAGTTTTGGGACGATGAAAGAGTGGGATACTCTCTTACCGTGTTTCGTGGTCGCAAAATTTGTGGCACGGGTGCCAATCCAGATCCGAAACCCCCACCACCTGGCAAACCCGTGGTTCCGGAAACCCCAGACAGTGTGGTGAAGATGCCACGTGCCGATGACGGAGAGATAGAGGTGTTGCTGGACAAAAACTGAGGTCGTTGGAGAAAATAACCTGACTGGACCGAAGCTTTTCCCATTTGTGTACTAAGAGGGGCACTGCTTAAACCGACAACCGTGCTTTGCCCTGGGTTAGACTGGAACGGGGACACGCGGGTGCTAAGCGTGTCAGTGAACTGGTTGCTCACAGTGACGGAAGTAAATGTCGCTGAACGCCGGAGCATTGTTGGATTGGATGAGACGATTGTCTAGAGGAATAAAACAAGCAGTGTCATAAATGATACCAGGAAAGAGACAACCATAAGATGTTTGGACTACATCGGAAACCAAACTACCCAGTACTCCATACGCAACTACGTAATGGAAAAAACATGGGAACTTTATTGAACACGCTATCAGCCCCACAAATGTGATGGATTGCTTTCGCTATCTAATGGCCTCTTTCTGATATGATCGTGTGGTTGTGCCACAGCGGGATCCATCATCGCTCCATACAGCGACTAGTTCACCTATACTCAACTCCCAGTGAGTGAGGGTTTATGAAATTTTAGTGACATGCGAGAAGCCCTGTACGGATAAGTCTAGTTAAAAGCATCCAACTAAGAAGTTGTGTTTCCCGACTGTTCTGTTCGTCCTGTCGAGCCCTTTCATCAGCCGCCATGAGATACCTGGCATAAAAAATCGATCGCTCAGTTGTGGCACCCTATCGGGGTCTAGTTGACATGCCAACGGAAGGAGCTACGAGGGCTGGGATACTGCCAGGTTTCCCAAGCCTAGACAAGAGCAGCCGAGATGCGAAAGTTGGGTTCAATCCTCCGACCTCTCGGTCCGTAGGCTGGCGCCTCAACCACTGAGCTATTTCGGGCCCACCAGAAGGAAATGATTAATCCGAACCGAACAGCTCTTAAAACCACCCGCTATCTCACTGTTCCCATTGGCGCCCAGTATTCGCACAATGGAATAGAATTTTTGAAAGCTATGACGTGACCCTGATGGACTAAAGCAATCGGGCAAGTGAGTTCAGAGTACAGTCCAAACTTTTGAAACCCATTTAGGCATCCCAGGGTCTCAGCGACGCTGGGGAGCTATTCCATCAGAGGTATGATTGCTTCAGTGGACAATGAGATTCGGTGAGGTACAAAAATATGAACGCAGATTAGGGTAGTTTTTGGCTTGAGCACATGCGCAACAAAATGCGACATGTTAACGCAAAAAGTTTTACTCCACTTCCAAAGGCTTTGCAGCTAAAAGAATTATGTGGCTAATGGGCACCGTTCTCATTCTATACATGCAATCCTATGAATGCACGCATGGCTAAAGGCTAACAATCCTCTTTGTCTTCGACACGGTGATCTGGTTATGAAACTATGCAGTAAACCTGGTGCGTCGTGGCCAGAAGCGCAGGAGTAGGAGGGGCAGTGTTTAGCGACGTGACGCTCACTTCGCAGCTATCAAATGTATCGACTGGGTCTAGCACATTAGGTACAACGATTATCATTTTAGGACTCAAGCGCATTGCAGCCTATGAGGTGATGATATTGTGCTTTGAAAATGTATGACAACTGAATGAGGTGAGACATCGTTCAGGCTTTTCAGTTTTTTTAGAGGTTCGGCGCGAGCAGTAGTGGGTGCAGAGAGGGCTTGCCCGATAGCCAGCTCAACTGACGTATGATAAAAGACACGAAAGTGGCCAAGGACAGGCTAGATAAACGCATTTTCAGTAATGAACTGAACATAAGCTACCCCTTGACTAAGGCGTTCGGACAGGGATTGAAGAAACACGATATTCGAAGTATTTTGCCAAAAAGGGACCGCAATGAGAAACATAATGATTGTTAAATACAATGCAACGATTGGTCTTTCATAAGGTCGCGTTGGAAAGCAAACATATTTTCCAGGCGTCTGATCAAGCCCTGTTTGGTGTTGACGAGAGTTATAAGCCAGAGACAGGCGGGGTTATTTGGTAAGAAGCTCGGAACAAAACGCAACGCTTCCTTGAAGCAATGGATAATTAAAAAGGGCGTGGGATCAGCATGATATGACGAGCAGTTTCAAGGGCCACTGCGTTCAGAAGAAATGGGTCAATTATGCATAACATCCGGAAAGTGAGCTAAATGATGAGCAATAAATGACAACAGGTTTTTATTGAAAGCTCCATGAAAGTCAAAGTTATCACGAGTTTTTATGCCGAAGAGACCGTAGTTTATAAAAGTTACTCACATCGAAGCAAAATGCAAATAAAATCGCAAAACTCACAACAAAACTGGTGCCACGCTGACTCGGATGTGAAAAAGACAACGGACTTCCTGTAAGATTCAAGGAAAGGGAGGAGGTCACAACTGTCCCACTTCCAGCTGCAGTTGTTTCTAGTGGGAGGGACAGTAACACAGAAGGATGAGCGGTCGCGTCCTGAGAATGAGAATAGAAACTCAGTGGCGCCTGATGAGATGCCAAGCTAGTGGCTGGTTGAAGACTAGACGGAAGACTGAGAACCGCAGTTGTCACCGGCAAACCAGCAGCGGATGGAGACATATGAGGAGTTTGAGAGTTGGATGAAATGGACTCAGCCAGTAAACGGGCCTCGCGCTCCTCCTTGTTTTTAATCACCATGGCTGGTGTGATGAGAGTATCGGGATTGATATTGTGCTCCTGAAAATCGTATAAGTTCACAAATACGTAAGTTTCGACTTTGTAGGATAATGTCATTATGGCTAGTAACGAATAACAGCCGGACGACGAATATTAATATGATGCTTGATCAACATGGGATAAGCTCTCTGTCGCCGTTCCCACTACGGATGCGCCTGGTGTAGCGTTTCCGCGGATCGGCCGATCAGAAAAACCAGCATTGATGAATCAGCTGATACGATTTATGATTTATGAGAACATTATTAACCATATGCGGAACCGATATCGCTCCAGTACCAAAACGTTTGCATTAAAAGTAGCTTTCCCCTTTGATGTCAGCCGACTGTGCTAAAATACCACCCATTTGCCTACACCACCGACATGTAAGGCCATACCTGTCAGCAGGCGAGACTAAAATTGGTATGAATCGACTGATTTATTTATGAATAACTGACCGATACGATAAAAAGGGTCTCCAAATTCTGGGTTCTCTCGTCCTCTGTGGTCCACTTACGTGGGCCATAGGAAAATAGGTGCATCTCTTGCTGAAATGCCACGTCATCCAGTTATACAAGCAGCATGCACCACTAGATGAACTGAGGTGAGACCATGCATCCAAAATCATAAGTTTAGGTCAACTAGCTCTATTGACTTCTCTGCCAAGGAGGTCTAAGTGTTTAGCCATCACGCTGAAATTGGATCTCACCACCAGTGTGCACTATTAATCAAGGTTGATGTTTATACAAGTACGAGTAAACAAGCAAATGTAGAGTGGCCGATTCAGCTGTGAGCATTTGGTCCACCCAACTGATCATAGTTTACATTTTCTTTGAGTGTACACATATGAATATGCATACATATTGCTGCGAATTTCTTTCAAGCTTAAAATATACATTTATACATATTTAGTAATAAAATATTAACCATTCAGCTGCAACACCCTTTCGATGCCTAGCTGCTATGCTAACTGAAGGAACCAGAAGGACTGAGATACTGTTAGGTCACCCAAGCCTAGAAAGGAGTGGTCGAGATGCTGGGGTTGAGTTCGAACGACGAACCTTCGTGTCGGTAAGTTCGAATCTTAGCTACTGAGCTATATTGAGCCCTTATACACATACAAACATTCAAAAGCACCAGGTGTCACGTGGGCCGATTCCAGCAAACAGCTGTTTAACCTCTACCTTTAAAGAGGCTTCTTGATTTCGGAAGAAAAGCCATCTGACGGCACACGTACCCTGTAGTCCGAATCATTGCGTAAACATACATGTCTTGCGAAACCTATGAAAACCCATGGGTCATACTGAAAAAAGGTTCTTTGAGACCGAACCTCTCGAGTGAAAACAACCACGTCTGTGACCAGGGTAGTGGCTTTGCATAATGACGTAAGCAACCGATTCACACGTCACTTTATGCCATCTTTCATGTTACGTCTCGGTATTTGTCAAGAGATATATGAGGAAAGTTCTCCAGGTGACCAAATAGCAGTTACAAAGTATTTCGATGGCAAACTAAAAGTGATTCGACAGCCAGTTAGGATGTACTGAGATGATGCGGTGATGAGATGCGTAAAACTCTTCGGGCTTAATTCCTTTGTGATACCTCCACTTGATAGTGTCGTCTCAGGTACTTTATACAGATGTTGTATGAGTTGCCAAGGCGACTTCGTAAAGAAAATGTACGGATGAAAAGCGCAGACCAACTCGGTTTAGGAAAAAAGCAAGCGAAATCAATCAAATTTGGTAGTAATTGTCACACTGTGCAGGTTCGTCCACGATCAGCACACAAAGTATGCTCAGATTCACAAAAGTCAGAGGGGATGGCAAAATAGAGTAGACAAGAACAGGATAAAAAAGGAAAAAGAGGCTCACTTGTAGAGCAGCAATATGCGTGGGATTTTTCTGTATCATTGGCCCGGTGTGACATGAAGATGTGCTTGAAAAAGAAGTTGGTTGACTAGGAACTGAGCCGTCAGTCGCTGACGTACTTGCTTGAGAGCTGGGCGTATGGTCACACGAAGATTGTCTGTGATGATGATGTCGATGATGAGTAAGTAGGGCTGGGGAGGGGCCTGTGATTGGGTAACTACCGTGTCCAGTTGAGGTTGGGAAGGAGCTCGACGAAGCAGGATGTGAAGTAGTAGCCGGATAGGTATAAAGACTTCCTGAAGGTCCAGGGGAGCCGGTTAGTGCTGCTCCCCCGGAGTGGAAGCCAGGTCCAGGAGAACCAGCACCCGGAGCTTGCTGACGCCTTGAACTTGACGGTCTATGGGGTTGAGCAGGTGTCATGGCTGGTGGCGGGGCAAATGAGTCCTTGATTACCTTCCGGAGGATTTTGGACTGGGCTTCATCGTCATTTTTCATGGTACTGATGAGTTGTGTTAACTGAGGCGGGATCTGTGAGCCGGATGCATCAGACGCAGATGTATGGAGATCGGCATCCAAGGGGGATAATCGGAGATGCTGACAAGAGACAGGCGAAGGGAGTATAAAGTACTCCTAGAAGGAAATACTCAGAATGGTAAGGAGGTTCAGGATATCATACTAGCTTTGTAATATAACTGCCCTGGGCAAACAAAAATCAAGCAGGTCATTCCTCTACTAATATATTTTTACTTGCCAGGTAAGTAGACGCGTGACGAAATGAACACCGAAATGCCTAAACTGGTACTAAAAAGTGGAATCTCAAAAACGCACTTGGAAAGACAAATAAGTTCGGTATCGATTGACTGCTGTCATACTGTCGCAATTCGGGTCATTTGCTTGGGATCCAACCCCCGATGGCTGAGGACTCAGGCCAAGGTTTGCAGCAGCCGCAGCCACCGCTGCGGAGCTTTTCAGCTTATTTTTCACTTTCCGACTGCTCTGACTGTGGACAATATTGGCAGCAGTGGACACAGCTGAAAAATAAAGTGAAAAATGGTGCATGAAGATCCAGTCCCAGTGGCTGGGTTGTAAATCTCTACAAACACGCGCGTGAAATAAACGTCAACACTTACGAGTAGAGATCGCAGCATCCTCTGGAAGACCACTATTGCCGACTGGAATGTGTGAACCAACGTTTGAAGACAGTGTGGCTATTGCAGTATTTATAATCGTCAGCATTCTGGTATGCATCAGTAGACACTGACGGGCTCCGCGATAACCACGCGTTGGAAAGAAGTTGTTGATAAAAAACTCCGCCAGACGGAAGTTCGGGGATAGGGCGGAGTTTGGTGGCACACCACAATTTGAATCGAACGGTAGTTCTTGCAGCTTGACAATGCTCTTAAAGGAAAGGAAAGCTACATAGAGTGCTTGTGCGTTGTACGGCAGAATATCCTTACAAACGCGGCAAAATCTACAACTAGAAACTCAACCTTATGCTTACGAACTAACCTGGTACAAAGCAGCCTCCTCATTCACGTGCCACTCTAGGGGTTTTCCAACATGAAGGTGTCCGGTTGCTTGCGAACCAGCGACACTAGACAAGGAGCCCGCGGAATTGCTCAAGCCACCGGCTGCGGTTGTGGTCGCGCCATTAGGTCCATACCGTAAGGCTGGGGGAAGACTTGCCTGAAACGAACACATAATGAAAATGCAATTTATGTCACATCACTGATGGATTTATAGGCGACTATGCTTACATGAAGAAAGCAACAGACAACTAGGGTAAAGTCGGTTCCTCATGTCCTACACTAACCTGCGAATTTGCGATTGAAGGTCCACATCGTCCAGGAGACGTATGGCCGTACCTGGCCAGAATAGCAGGATTCGAGAAAGGACTGAGGTTTCCTGAAGAAGCCTGAAAGTGATAGACAGCACTCTTTGAAGCTGAGGGCTGGGGCAGATGCGAACCTGTGGCCAAGGCGGCAACAGCAGCTGCTCCACCAGCACTAGCAGTTCCAGTTGTGGAAACAGCAGTAGAACGACGATGTCGCCCCGAACGTGAGTTCGTGAAGTCTTTGTTGTAGTTGGCGCGGGGGATATGCAATTTGGGGTGGTTGGAACCTCCAGAGCCCGAATGATTAAGAAATAGCGTCACTCCACCAGAACTTCCCAAACCCCCAGTTCCACCATGAACACTAGTGCCAGCAGGTACATGTTGCGGACTGGCAGTCGGTTGCATGTAGCTGGGACGCGTCACAGGGACCGCATCTCGCAAAGATGTCTTCGAAGAAGGCGATGGAGGAGGTAACAATGATGAATCGCTGTCTGCAGCTGGCAAAAAAAGATTTGAAAATGTAAGCTGGTAGTAGCCAAATCAGTGGATAATACCATCTGAACAATGCCCTACTCACAGGGTAGTTGAAAAACTGGCAAAAAAATCAAGAGGGTCGAAAAGGACTACAGCCCGGATATGAACCTTTAAAAGCAACCTGTCAACCTAGTAACAGCTAAACAGAACGAAAATTTACACCATAGGGTTGCCTCATCATAAAGCAAAAAACCTCTTAGGGCACAAAAGATGTCACATGAAGATTATTCGCACCCTTACCCAACAAAAGGTATGTACTGCTGATGACCTCTAAAAAAAAGTGAAATTCGAGTCTAGTGCTTCCCCGCTTAGAAGTGGATTCACCAGAATGATTGCACCCGGACAAGACGATCGTTCAAATGCGAGTCTTGTGAGTGTACCATCTACAAACCCGCAACCACCAACAACTAAAACAAACGCATCTATCGATTAAAATTAAGCGGAGGTTGGGTTGTCCCACCTACGACTGTTCAAACAAAGCTGCAAGAAACTGGAAGAGCGAATTGGGAACGTGCTAGCGGTAGAATCATAGAATAATCCATTTTTATTCGCTCGGAGAGTTGAACGTACAAGACAAACTCAAACCTGGTGTTTTCTACATTTTGTTTATTCAGCCAGTAACTAATGGACAATAGAGAAGGTCTGCTCAATCACAACGGGGCGATATGACCCAAGTGGTTAGAACGCGAATTTACTGACCGGAATGTCCGTGGTTCGAACCCGACCTCTGCCTCTCGACTTCCCCCGTCTAGGCTTGAGAAACCTGGCAGTATCCAAACCCTCATGCAGCCTTCGGATGGTATGAAAGTTAGTTTATTCCTCAGTACAAAGATTGACTGAAAAGGTGGATTGCGTGCGACATTATTTCTTCAATTTGTGTGATCGTAGAACATAAACTTGACGGAAACTCGAGGACTGTGCCTACCTGACGAGCCCCAAGAAGGGCTGTCGAAGAGCTTTCAGTAACCTTCTGAACAGTTTCCTATATGAAAATAAGTGTGTCAATGTTCTTTCGCTTAGGTAAGTGAGAAGTGATTCCGTCGACTTTTTCCTGTAACTTTTAAAAAGCAGAGGCTGTATCAAGGTTTAGCTGCGTTGATATTCAAGACACCGAAGTGTTATTACGCCATGAGCAATGCTACACATAGGACCAACACCAGCTGACAATAAAAAGGGTGATCAGAGCTAGATTCTAGTGTAATTTTTAAAAACAACACTCAATTGGTTTGCTGGTTAGCGAAGAATTAATTCGAAAAGAGACCCTCCCAACACGCGATTTGAAATATCACTGCTTGTTAGGAAGGTTCACTATACATGGAAATGAAATACAAATCGTCGCTCAAAACTAAGGAAAAGAATATACTTGACGTCTATCGACGGCTACCCTTGACAGACGTAAAAGGGGTTGCGCAGACAAAAAATAGGGTGCACTAGTGATTCATTGGACCACGTTTACTTCTTTTCACACCATTGGATGCGCTACGCAATATCCGACAGAGAAAACCATGATGAAACGGAAGGTGCAACACATTATCACTATTTTAGATAAGATAGTAATCGAATTAACCGTGCAACAAAACATTAATAACCTCTGCAAAACCGATCGTGTCGCGTAGGCACGAAAATAAGAAAGACACCTGCCCGGTGTTAGCACGACCGAACACCCTCAATTAATAAAAGTACTGTTGGTCCAGAAAACGCGGTAGATCAGTTGAGGGCCGTCGGAAAACGGGATGATTCGAGGTGCGTAGAGGCATAACTACGATAAGGTGGGCTGGAGGCATCGTTTGTCGGTAACTTCATAAGATAAACAGTCTTCCCCCTCTCTGACATCGTGTCATGTACAGCAGCGGATAATGCTAGTATACAACCGTGAAGACGGTAATAGAGTGGAAAAGGAGAGATGCAGGCCAACAACAAAACAACCTGAAGTGTAAGGAAAAAGATAAACAAGACTTTACGCTTTCCAAAACCATGGAGACAAACGTATCCGTGCATTACATTAGTGATATAAGCTACTGGCGGGATGGACTCGCGAGCGTCAGCCCAACCCCCGCATATCAGAGGCAAAATATAACCAAGTAGTTAGGCTAAGTAACAGTATGCTGGCCAAATGCTCCATAGGGCTAAGTCAAGTTCAGAGAATCACATGAGCCCAACCCGGGGAGAGCAAAGACACCACATCAATCCTTCTAAAAGCTGCCACATTCATTCCGCATTTACATGCCATGGTCTATCACCCGCAAGCCTTTCTCCGATAAAGACTGGCAATGGAAAACAGAATTATCTGATGGATGATAGTTGAGTATAAGCAGGCGTTCAGACCACCTTGGCGTGGTGAGCTAAGGCGATTTCGACGCGTTCACGGATCACTTTACTGTAAGCCTGTTGCAGCGAGCAAACATGGTATCCTGCGAAGATATCGGTAACCAAATACATGGAGACGCTTTAGTACTAGTTATGTGGTGTAAACGGTGCTTTAGCTTCAATACAGTTCATTTCTGGCGCAGGTTGACCTTATTGTACGTGCCTAAGTCATGTGTGCACTGAACCCATGTTTCGATACAACCGGAATCATGACAATAAAAGGTAAAGAAATTTTCTAAATTTGAAGACGTTGCTCGCTTACCAAGAGCCAGATTATCTACGGAGTCAGATGTCTTTATGGAGCTGTGAAATTTGTCTGGCAGTCTGGTTGGTGCTTCTCGGTAACCCGAGTTAAAAATGTGGTCAATGCATATCCTACATGGTGGAAACCTCGTCCGACACTTTTGGACATGCTTGGATTAGGCACCACAATCGTGTTGAAACCAGTGGTTGTGGCGAACGGGGGTGAGACCCATACGCCGATGGTTAGGGCATTTGAGTAGGGAACCTTCTTGAACAATATTGCAAGGACTGGTTAGTCCATTTTCTGGACCCCACCATGATTCTTAAGTTAGCCTGAACAACCTAGTTATGACAGAATTATATTTGAATGGCGCTGCTTGAGGACCATCTGGTCATGCGACCCGGTGGCATTTCAACACAGAGTTCAAGGACGACGGCTCTAGTCAGTTGGGTTCGATGGCTACAGTGGCAGAGGGCCGATTGGATTACAGTTGAAAATACAGCTCCCGGGGCTCTTGCAGGGTAATAACCCTCCAATATTATCCTCGATCAGTTTACTAACACGTACGTTAGGTACTGTTTTCAGGAGGTGGAACAGTTTGCCAACACTCCCGGCTGCACTGGTCCGGACCAATGGCGGAGCCTTTGTTTGACGACTCTCCAGAAATACAGGTAAGCCAATAAGCGGTAATCGCCTGCTAAGCTACTTGTCTCTTCGAAATCTGACCAGATAGCCTTTGTGACACCGCAATATAGAAGTACTAGACTTGAGGTGATCAAACTACAAAAGGACAACAAAGAAATGGTAACTTGGGACGTACCAGCGCACAAGGACTGTTCTAAATGACTGTCTGAAGTAGGCGCAAGTGGTTGGGAAAGGGTAGATAAGTGTTTTCGGTAAGCCCCAGCGCCAGTGAGTCTCCGACGTTTCAAATAAGAACGAGTATATGCACTGTTTGTGGAGAAAGAATTGCTGTAGCGCAGAGATTTGCTAATGTCAATGTCACAGTCGGGTGGAGCGCTTCGCTTCAATCCCTGAGGGTTGGAGATGGCTGGAGTGGGTGTAGGGGCTGTCGGAGTAATTACGACCTGTGTCACTGGCGGTAACTCATGTTCGGACATGGGGTCCGTCTCGTAGCCCCATTCAGAATCATCCACTGGCTGCGAACGAGTGAGCAGTAGGCCAGGACTTCGGTCCTCGAGAGCCGTTGATGGTGTAACAAACACCGAAGGCTCTTCATCACCCAAGTGGAAGACAGTTGAAGGAGTAGCACAGACATCGGCCTTCGATTTGGATGACTCAGTCGCTTGAAATCGAGCAAACGGTTCCCATAACTAGAATTGGAAAGTTTATAAAAAAAAATCCTCAGTACATGGCACGTAGGTGTTCGAAGGAAACGGAGATGAAGTAGATAAAGATAGTGGTAGAAGCAGTAGATAAATACTTCATTCGCCAACTAAATTACTGTTAACGAGAGGCTCAAATGAATTTCAGTTGAATCTCTCGCTCATGATACTCTTCAACTGAATGTGCTGAACAAAAGCACCTCTTGGTACAATACTCGGCGACTGTTCTCACATGATAAGCCCAAAAAAGAGCGAAAGCGATCGAGGCTTCGAAAAATTTCCAGCAAGAATAAGTAGTGTTCCGATACCTCGAATACCGTACCGACTGAAACATCAGGCGACTTTGGTGCAGTAAAATTAGCAGAATATCATGGAAGAAGGATTAAGTTAATCTACCCGCAAAAACTAAATCAGCTTGCAAATGAGTATAATTCGCGAATTGCGTGGAATCTGGGTTCAAGGGGAACATAAAGTTGACGAAAACGCTGGAACCTCATCCAACTGGTGAGCCCCAGGAATAGTAAAACCTGTGGAGAGCTATTAAAGGGCATCAGAAGCCATATAAGTAACTTGTCCCGTCACGAAGCTCAATCTCTTTCAATCAGGTAATCGATAGTCAAGTCTAGAGCTATAATAAAGTGCAACAAATAGGACTTGAGAAGTAGCACAGAAGGGTATAACACTCACACTAGCCTCTGTGAGAGGTAATGGCCAATCCTCTGTACAGGGAACCTCTGTGTCTTTAGTCCAAAGTTGTTCCACGTGATCGGATGCGTCCGGTACATCTGGTGCAAGAGCGTGGTAGCAGAAAAACGCTTCATTGGAACGACAAATGAGGAACTCAAGCTGAGAAAGGTATTCGGACGCCTCATGATGAGCCACCTCCCAACAAGTTTTGTCGGAATACCCCAACTCTCCGGAGAAATCAGCCGGCAAGTGTTGGCATTCGGTGGCAAAAGAGGGTTCTAAGAGAAATACATCACGCGGGTGAAGGTAGGGTTCCCAAAGGCGATCATCTTCGTCCCCGAACTGAGGGTCTGGTTGTTCATTCTGCGAGGATTTGTCGAAAATCGTTCGGGAAATCGAAGTCTGTTCGGCAGAGGCACAGCACCAGACCTGCGTGTCGACTGGATCCTCGAAAAGTTCCAGTGCGCGGTTAAGCTTAAAATAAGGGAAGTTAAGTGTAAGGTGATTTATATTCCTCAAGCTTGTTTGGAATAATCAGCCACGAGACGCATGTAAAAAAGATACCGATTATCTGACATCGATATCGCTGAAACATAACCGTGGGAAGTGGTGTTACTAATGGAAATCATTCCAATTACGCAAAATGACTGTACTACGGGGCTATATAGAGTCACACGTCCTTGAAGATTAGATTTTTTGCATCTCCCTTGAAAGGCGTTTTGACATAAAAGTTCCTCCGTCTTCCAATGGGTATTAACCAAAACTACCGAGGAAGATACATTTATGCGGCATAAATATGGTCGAAAGTCAATTTGCTCACCAAGTGTTCGCAAAGAGGCTCGCGCTCTTGGAAGGTATTTTGAAGTTCTCCCAGTTCGCGTGATTTATCTCGTTGGTAGTCGAAGAAGGGATAAGAAGAGGAAGAGGTAACGGATGATGCAGATGAGTATGGAGGTGGTTCCTGCTTTATTGACAACAAGGATCCATGTTCCGATTCAAGCCCTTTGTATGAAGCACCAAAAACAATGGGATCTGGTTCGTAGGGAACGCGGTTAGACAGGAACGCACTGACCACATTGGGTTGGACACGAGCAACAAGCAAGGAATGACAGTCACTGGGTGCGGAGCTATGAGCTTGAAACACGGCTTCCGGAAGAAGGCGACAAGCAAACTCGCGAGATAAACAAGCCTCAACGCTTGGACATAGACCGGAGCGGTTCGGCAATCCGACGGACACGAGTCGGTAGATCTGCACGGAGGGACTAAGACCATCGGCCTTATCCTCTTGGTGAGCATGGTCGACCAGACCATTCAATGTCCAGCTATGTATGCTGGAAGGGAGAAATAACTTTTGGGATGAGTCGATAGCCACGTCTTTAATGACGGAATTCAACTTTCGAGTGCTGTCAGCCGTTAATAAGAGTGTGGTGGTATGACTGGCAAAAGTGTTGCATTTCGGGGGAAAACTGATTGCTATTAAGAGTGAAAGGTCGAGTTCCATTCACTCGAATTCAGGTTAGCCATCCGTATCCTTGGCTGGGTGAACAGCTAATCAAGACACACGAATCCCACGACAAATTGATAAAGCCTGGTATCAAATGTGGATAAACCCATAAGTCTATAGCGAGCCTTACTGCTTCTCTCCAGTTAACCTGTCTCTCCAAGGTGGATGTATAGAGGCTGAGGTAACGTAGTAGTAACCAATAGACAATGGTTCACAGAATTGGAAATTGTTTAAAAAAGCTTGGACGATGTCTTACATCATCCTACTCAAACTTGAGAAACCCAGCGGAATCTCGCCTCCTTCGGATTACATGACAGTTATACACCAAAACGGTGTGATACTCGAACAGAATGATTTTAGTTTGATTGGGTATGAATCAAAGCAGATTCAGAATAGTATGCAACTATGGGCAACACATCGAAAATAATAGGCAAAAATCCAACTCACAGCGCACGGACGTTATCCACAGAATCAGCCCGTAAGTCCACGTCGCAGATAATGACAAGTGTATCTGGGCCGGCCTTGAGTCCAGTAAGGCAAGTGGTCGGACTTCGGGAGTGCATGAGCACCAAAAGCGGTCCACGTGTACCACGAGGCCAAGCATTGATATGGTCTATGAGAAGATCCGACTGTGTATTGACAGCTTCAAAACTGCTGGGGAGGCGGACTCGAGAACACATTCGCCAGGGTGAGATGGCTAAATATGCCTCCAGGAGATTCAGAAATGCGGAGCGATGAGCCAAGAGATATACGCAGCGAGGACGCGGTTTGGATTTGGCACCAAGAAATTCGCCAAGCAGACAATGAAGACTGAAAAATTTACCTGAAAAGTGTGGCGGCAGGCAATTATTAGAGGACTAAGATCACCTCCGCGTGCTAGATTTAACAGGTAATCTGAAAACAAACCGGTAGTCCTCAAACTTGGGAGACGGAGACTGGAATGGTGATATTGTGAGCTCAGTTCATTCTGTGTATGACGCACGCATCATTCATGTTTACCTTCCTGATGATATTTATTGTTGTTAGCAGAGAGTTCCCCTCAACTCCTGAACCAAAAAAGTATGTAGGGCCAAAAGTCATAAAAACCATGAGTCTCCCATCGCTTCCCGACCTATATTCCACACTGATTTGATGTGAGGAAGCTGGTTTAACAAGGTGGTTGCTGTGCTTACCACACGTAAGGTTGGTCTTGTGGTGTTGCGTGACCGCATTGTTCACCATACCGGCTACCCGTTCGTCAGGTCTCCCACTCTTACCACTGGCCTAATAATCCCAGTGATTCAGTAACTATCCGGCCAGTTTCGACTAATGACAAGAATCTTTCCATCACAGTGCTGACCAGGGACCCGTAAAGAACGGTTTAGTCTTCAATTACTGGCCTGGAAGTTTCGAGTTTGAGTCTTCTCGGTGTTCCGGATTATACTGATGATTGTAAACAAGGCTTTCGGACACAGACTGACTACGGGACAGAAGCTCCATGGAGTAATTCTAAAATCTCTTTGTACTACCAACCATGCCAAGAACTCCTAGTCTGGTGGCGACCTAGGAATATTAAACTAACCTGGCATCACTCAGGTTCGACGCTGTTCGTACGTTGATGTAAAAAGTCACACCAGCGTATGAATGCCGTCGTGGTTGCATTAAATCCCTACTTTTCTTACTTCTCAAAGGACCGGAGTTCAAATCCAAGTATACAGAAGAACATACACTACTGACAGTCCAGCAAAGTACTTCTTATTTGGTGGAAGACAATGTGTCAAGACAGGGACCCTGTCTCAAATGAATCGGATACCTCGCAATCATGCGCAACCGCTTGAGGGCTCAATGTGGTACCGTAAAAGCTAGTCTGTATGTAGTAAACACTAATCCTATTTCGCTGGGTTCTTAGAAGCTCTGTCCACGTAGGCTCATAAAAATAAACTAGCAATCGTTCAGCAGCAACACTCTTTTGTTGTCTGGCTGTTAAGCCACCCGAAGGAAGCCTAAGGGCTGAGATACGGCTACGTTGCCTAGGCTTAGACAGGAATAGTCGAGATGAAGAGGTTGATAAATCTACGCCTTAACCACTGAGCGGTGCAGGCTTTAAGTGGACGTTCCTTTTTCGTTGATCAAACGGCTACTGAAGCTGTAGATATTTTCGGAATAAGTCAATCGTTCCTAAAATTATGTTTGGGATCACGGGTTGACGAAATATCTAATATTTCCAAGACGAAGTCCATATGACGCGTTCTTGTGAAAGCCTACAGACCAAAAATGAGTCGTCCACTGCGTGACCCATTTGTCGAGTACTGGCCTCCTGCACTGGCAAATGCTTTGGATTAAGCCATAACTTTTCGAACAATCGGTGATGGTTCAGTCCTCTTTACATTTTTGATAATTTCAGGTGTTAATGTGACCACGGTCGCATAGGTCAGTAAAGATAGAGCTGCCTATGAACGTATGATGTATTGGCCTCAATGACAGAAAACCGGAGATTCCTGTGTAGACCGATTTTTCGAAAAACCGAATACACTCAAGTGTGAAAAGTACTACGCCACGGGCAATGGCAAGTGGTAATTTCGAGCTACTACTTTTGAGGGCTCATTCATTCGTGGCCAAACGATTGGATTGGAATGAATATAAGCCTCTTCCGGTGCCTAGCTGGCACACCATTCGAAGGAGTCACGAGGACTGAACTCATGTCAGGGTGCCCAAGCCCAGACAGATACAGTCAAGAAACAGAGGTGGGGTGGATATCCACAAGAGCAGATGCAATCGCTTCAAATGTGAATTCAGATTTCTTCCTGAAATCCCATGGCGTTCTAAAAATTGAGTGTCTTTGTATCAGCAAACAGCTTCGAGCAAAACTGCCATTCAGCACGAGTTCATCTCTTCTGTCGTTGGGAATGCGTTGCGAAAGCACTGAGAATACTATCTGAGACACAACAGCAGTTGGATCGTTGGAGAAAAACCCCAACAATAGTGTACCTTACAAAGACAAAATACCGGAGCAAACGCTATCAAATAGCTAGAGAACGCATAAAAATAATTTGGAACGTAAGCATGTATCATAACGCAGAAAATTCGTGTAGGTTGGTACAGATCACTGGGTAGTACTTTTGGAGGAGTTATTTCCATGATAATCCTATGGTTCGGTAGAATGCCGGAACATTTGAGGACTTCAGTGCTCTCTAGGGGTTGTGTATTTGTGAGTGAAATTCTCACAAAAGTAATCTGATGAGAGCAGTACATGCGAGCACACTTAAGAGGTGGCAACTTGACAGATCTGGGAGTACAATGAATCGGTTGAAGCGGGCAAGCAAAACATGCAAAATTCTTGGATCACTCGGAGAGTTTTGAGTAAGCCTGAAAACCACGGGAGGAGTTGGAGTATACAAACAGCCGTCGATTATCAGTACCGAGGCTATGAAACCAATCGCCATGTACTTTGTAGTGTCCGAACTTTTGAAGCAATACAAAATGGGTTCGGTCGAGCATTGCCGGAAATAAATTAAGAACTGGATCTGATGCGAAATCCACTCGAGGTTTCCGAATAGTAAGATGTGAATCTGAGTTGGGAAGGATAAATGTAAATCCGGAGAACATGAGATTTCTTACTAAAGCGGGGCGACAGGCAAAAATTGTGGCAGCTGGGCAGTGAGCTCTCGGCACTGGACGGGATATAGATAATTGCAGTCTATCCACCAGATTTCGTGCAGTTTTGGCCCACGCTGTGGACCTGAAGGCGTTATAAAATCCGGGCTAATGGCTGAATGCAGACATAGACGATAAGAACCCTTGCATTTCCAAGTTCCCTGAATTCCCCCCAGCCTGAAAGACCAAACATTAATTTTTCATATTCCGTTTGGAACAGGTGGACCATGACTGTTTTCAATCAAAACTTTCGACGGGCTGAATGTGATTCTTCGTTCAAACAGTCACCCGTCATCTGATTGCTGTCGAACAGTCAGCATGTGTAAGCCGAACAGTCATCGACCGCCACAGAGAGTTTGATGCTTGTCGAGTCGAAGTTACGTATCATATGCTGTCCTTCCATACCCACTCAGTGAGTTCTAGCAGGGGTGACAGGGTTCTTCCGCAATCACACAACGAAACCACCGTCCTAAAAGTCTGTGTGGCTAGCCAAATGCGATTGAGTTATTCGGAGACCCAAAATTGCTAATTAGGAACTGCCGCGAGATATTTCGAAGTGTCTACAGTTTGGTCATCCTTTTGAGTAACCTGTTGGACTAGGAACGAATATAGATGGAATTATATCGCAGTTTCAATTAGCCATGTGGTTTCGACCAGGTCACTATCGGAGCATGGTATGCAGTTAATAATGGCCGTATAGTGTTAAATGTACAGGGATAAGTACCACAACGGAGGTCACTTGCTTGTCAGCTGATTATAGGCTCAATTAGTTACCTGGCTAACAGAATGTGTGGGTAGCTATGGTGGTCTCACTCAGAATCCGAGGGCAAAACTAAAAATCTGTCCGGTTTCGCTAGGCCAGTCACCACAGAACAGAACGTATCAACAACAAGGTACGTCAGTTCTGAGTGAAGTTCAGTGATACAATAGACTGGATCAGGTCTGGATCTTGTCCTCATTCAGTGGTTGTGCTTCAGAATTTGTCATTGCGTCAACCTGATTAGTCACGCAATAACGTAATGTAATCAGGTCACGAAAATAGCCTAAAAAAGTGCATCGTTCGAAAGAATGTCCTTCCACGCCTAAGCGGACTTCAACAATAGACAAAGTCGGTACTATTGAAAGTGGTGAGAATTCCTCCAACAACTCTGTTTGGGGGAGAATCATCGGAAAGCGATGATCCGGTAAAAATTGACAAGTACGCCAGATGGAATACCTCAGCTGGGCAAAGCCTTGAGAGTGGGCTAAAGAGAATAAAACAACAACCCCTTCCAGAGGACAACGAAACTCACCTGATTCTGAAAACAGACGACCAAGAGGGGTGGATTCTGACGAGTTAAATGCATCGGTAATTGCGTGTGAGCGATTAAGTGGAAACTGGGAGGGAATATCAGGGGAAAGCCAACGAGCAGGCTCGGAAAACGGGTACAAAGATTGCGTGGAGAAAAGTGAACTGGACTGGGAGGTCTCTGTGTAGGCTTGACAACCGAGCGAGGATACACAACCACTTTTCAGAGTGAAGATGCGTGGAGGTAAGGCGATAACTCGAGGCCGTGAACACAATAAACTGCGAAAAATAAAATAGCAAGAATTTATCAGGAAATGAACTGGCAACTAAAGAAATGTCAACTAGGAAACACAACATGTGTCTAGGACATGCTACACTGTATGAAATACAATTAGTGCCTGCCTAAATGTGAGGTATTGAGGGTGTGTTCCCCGAGTTGGCTGTATGGCAAAGCTAGCTAGAGATCCAAGTGACTTGTTTGATGATAGAATCCGTGGTTAGGTTGAGTCAGCGGAATCTCAAAATCCTAAATAAGGTAAACTCGAACGTCTTGGGGGATTTATGTTTGGCTAAGATGAACAACTTATGAGTTGAGCTTGACGCTAATGGTCCTTACAGAGGCTACGTAGACGCTGATTGATATGGCTGCTAATCGATGTCAACCCTGCTGTTTTTGCAAGCTTCTTTTCGTATCGTCAGCATTAAAACTCAGTCAACCAGAAATGCCGGCGGTGGGCCAGCACCAGGTCCCTTTATTATTTCTTTGTTTTTTCCACAATAAATTATTCACACAATTTATGGTCTCGAGATATCTGTGTTGGTGTTCAGCACTATTATACTGTCGAAGATGATGGTAATAGTGATGATTCACTCAAATAAAGAAAGATTATCTTAAGTAAGCTGTCGACAAGTAAGAGTAGTGCAGAAAATCTTAAGATGTGAGCATCAGATTGATTACAGTCACTTTGTAAAAGACTGTTTACGTCAAAAACTGGGTAGCGTGAAACCGTAGGACTGTAACGCAATATATTTTGCTCAAACCTCAGTTGGCATCTGAGACACGTTGCTGCACCGTGGGCTAATAAAACTGGAACAAGGCAAAGTGCAGCCGTCTATTAAAACTTCAAAAACGTAGTTTTTACGCCGCATCAAAGAGTTGGTCCTACCTTAGGGCAACATGTCCCCATAACAGAGTGCTGTACATAATGACGCGGGCGTAACAGAGAGGAAACCATCACAGGGAGGGCCAGCCGAATACTGCATCGAGAATACGGACTAATTGATCCTGATCCTGAAGGGATCCTAGAGAGGCTTAAGTATGTACGGACCCTGCTGACAGGACGGTAGTCCTACACGCAAAAGGGAGATGACTCAGAAGAGAGGGTGGTCCACACAGGAAGTCGAGACCGGTCCTTTCGTTAAGGCGTGCGAACAGTGCAATTCGCAACAGAGGCTAGGAAAATCCCAAACAAGCACTGAATCGGAATTGTGAGAAGCCTTACTAAGTTACTCTTTTTGCAGTGAAATAATAACATCTACGAATTTTGCCAATAAACTCTAAGAGGATTCTCACAGGTAGTGGCTGAATATCTAGTTCAACTATGACAGATGCCGATTAACACGGTTTGTTGTATATGACAAACTGACAGCTAACCACACTAACCCGAGGCTAGAAATCTGTGATATATACAACAGCATCGGCTTAATCGTTTCCATCAGATTCGTTAGGGCTGTGAAACCGAAGGGTTCAGAGGACTGATTGGAGGGAGGTTGATTAAAATAAGTTCGATCCAAGCGAAGCAAATTGAAAGTGGCGGCCGAACACCAGTCCGCGAATCCGGTGAGTTGAGTACAGCGCCGTGTGTTATCACGCAGCAAGCCGTCCACACGAATCTATAAAGACGTGAAAGAGAGAGGGACTTCGTATAACCTGTACATTCAAGGGATGTTTCATTATCAAAGAAATCGACGAATACCTGGAGGTGTGTGACAAATGGATAGCCTGTGAGTCGACTTTTGCCAATTAGTCATAACTATCTGATCAATTATCATTTCTCTTGTTGTGACATCTTGTTATATCTCTTCTGACCCGTGTTAGAGAGGATCTGGAAGACATAAGACTTGGACAGCTCTCGGTTTGTCTACATATGCTCACAGTCCACGCTGCGGCACTTCTTGTACATTGCTTCGATTCAAGGCTGAACAGCAGGAGTAGGATGATTAGATGACCGTTCACCATCAATGCTTTCGAAGGTCTTGAGCGAGGTTGTTTACCAGGAAATTGTCCGACAATGGCCCCATCTATTTCTTGCACCATGACTTCATTGGTCGGACGCAAGAACGCCCTGCTTCAAACCACATCCAGTGTTCTGCAAGAAGCCATTATGTCTTTTCTTGTGTCCAGAGGACCTCCTGTTTTCAGTCTCTAATTGGTTTACTTCATCCGTATAGGTGAGCCGGCCACATCGCTATCAGCTGTCCACATCCTTGGTCTCAGGCCTTCCCAGGTCCAAAAACTTTATTGAAGCGGCCCCCACGTTATCTTAACCTGAATGGACAAGTGTTTACAGGTACATTTTAGTCTTCCTTGGAGTCTTTGCTGTCAGACTATACATGATGTGCAGAGAATTGCTGCTAGTAATCAAACCACATTCTGTAAAGCACTCATGTGCGGGTTCCTTCGTAACCTTTTTTGGTTCAAGTGAGCGAGGCGACTTCTTCCTACTCCTTAAGGTTGGATAACTCCCCGTTACTTTATTCTGTGCTTTATGATGGCATGTATTACCTTAATTATCTCACGAAATTTCCATGGCCCCGAAGAAAAAGACTGCCAATTGCCCGACCTCTCAAATTGCACTAGACTTATCACTACCATCTTTTCTGAATTTACCAAAACTAAACGTACTGTGCATTGCATCACCTTCCCTCTAAAAATGTTACCACAACCCAACCTCTATGTTTATTTATTCAACATATAACCCAAGTTCAAAGTTTAAACCAATTCTCGGGAAAACAGCTATCTACTGTAACCCGATTGTAACTTATTTGGCGCGCACGACTGTGGACCGTACACTGCCCGTGTCCGACATTGAACTGTGCTTCCTTCGTTCTTACATTTAACACTGGAACACGGAAAGTAAGGATCATCATCATCATCAGCTGCAAGAACCGCATGCTTGTCGTAGTTTAGCTGCCAGGACCGTACACTGCCCGTGTCCGACATTGAACTGTGCTTCCTTCGTTCTTACATTTAACACTGGAACACGGAAAGTAAGGATCATCATCATCATCAGCTGCAAGAACCGCATGCTTGTCGTAGTGGTCTTAGCTGCCACAGGTTCGTTCACCGAGGATTTTAGGTAGGGTAGGCAGCTGCGCATTGGAGGCGGGAGCTGATGAACTGGTGCGTAAATACAACACTGTCAGTGGACTGTTAATTGCGGAAATAGGGGAGGGAGCTATGCATCGAAGGCAATAGCTTGGATACATGAGCACAAGTGAGGGCGTGACTGGACCGTGTCTGACAATGTCTCCAACCATTGGTGTGGCCCGTCCCGGGATCCCCATCCAGGAGGTTGTCGGTAATCGAGGTTGCTGGTAATCGTTTCCATACGTCACTACTAAGTCATTGTTTGACCGCCTCTGGCTCGTTTGCACCCTTCACGTGGCCCAGCCAGCGCAACCTACGCAGTGCGATCAGTTCATCTACCGAGGGTGAGTTATTTCCTCCCGAATACCATTCGACGAACTTCAACATTGCTGATCCGGTGTTTCCACTAGATTCAGGCAATGCACCGAAGACATCAAAGGTCAGACTCTGAGTCTTTTGACGTCCTCGGCACGCAGCGCAGGGTTTCTGACCCGTGTAGTAATAAGGAGCGCAGTGCAGCATTGGAAACTCGACCCTCGACGGATAAGTTGACGTCAGGCCTACGCCAAAGGTGACGCAGGTCCACAAAGGCTGCTCTGGCCTTCCCAATCAGGATGGAAGCATCATCTTCCTCGGGACCAACGGGACTGATAAAGCTGCCCATGTAAACAAATTCGTTTATTATCTCAATCAGTTCATCCGCAAGCAAGAGGCTAGGGTTCGAGCCCACTCAGTCTTGCAGTAGCACTTTACACTTTGCAGGTGTGAAGCGCATACCGAACCGCGAGGCAGAATTATTTAAATTATTTAATATTGTTTACATTACCATGGGGTCGGATCCAAGAAGGACTATGTCGTCAACGTACTCGATATCCGTGAGCGGATGCCTAAGGGAGCACTTCGACCCCACAGGCATTAGAGGCTGATAGTGAGTCTTCCATGATTGTACAATGACGAAGTTTAACAGGAAAGAGGACAGTCCTGTCTGATACCACATGATGTGGTAAACTCAGAAGAGAGCTTCCCGTAGACCTTCACACGGCCGCGGGAGTTGGTGCACAGCGCCTTAAGGAGACTCAAAAATTTATGGGGGACACCCTTGCTCCACCGACACTGCCATCGTGCCTGACGGTTCACAGAGTTAAAGGCAGCTTTCATATCCAGAAACACAACCATTGTTGGTTGCTGAAATCAGCATCGCTGTTCCAGGATCTGCCGGAGGGTGAAAGATATGGTCGATGCATTCTCTTGCAGGACGGGACCCAGCTTGGTTTTCACGGATCTCAGTCAACTTTCGAAGGATAAGGCCAGAGAGCACATTCGATGCCACAGCTAACAAGCTAATACCACGGTGGTTTTCACAGGGTCCGCGTACCCATTTTGAAGATAGCTGCCGACATGTTCCATTCTACAGGCACCTATTCGTTCGATATGGTCCCAATGAGCTTTGTTAAATGGGTGACCAGGGATTCTCCACCTTCTTTGAAGAGGGCTGGATACAGACCGTCCGGTTCTGTACCGTTCGGTTCGCACGTTTAAGTAAGGATATTTCATACCTGGCTTCTTCCGACGGGCGATGAAGGTTTACGTTCCATTCGCCAGTGTGCATTATTTCCACAGGCTGTGTTGCAGAAGGCGAGCTTTACTGATCTTCGAAGTGTTTAACCCATCTTTTGAGCCGGCGTTTTTGAGTGAATTAATGAGCCATCTTTTTCACCTTTCTTTTCAATGAGCGTTGCTTTCCTAGGGCCAGTCGATCGTATCAGTCGATATAGGGCACGGCTGTTTCCCATAGTAAAAGCCTTCTCCATTTCCCGAGCTTTCAATGTCCACTAGAACTCTCAGTCTTCCCTTATACTCTTCACTATTTGGCGAGTGGGAATATTCGCGAGCGCCGTAGTACTTGTTGTCTGCTGGTACGGTTTTCTTGGCATCAATCATGGATAGCGATCTCGATGACATCCAGTGGTCCTGTGATCGAAGTCAGAAAACAGCACTGAACGCCGCTAACATAGCTTCCTTCACATTTTGCCACGCTTCATCCACATGCTACCGTCACCGTCAATCATGGATAGCGATCTCGATGACATCCAGTGGTCCTGTGATCGAAGTCAGAAAACAGCACTGAACGCCGCTAACATAGCTTCCTTCACATTTTGCCACGCTTCATCCACATGCTTACCGTCACCGTAGTATTGGTTTACTATGGAGGGTCGTTAGGGAAGCTCAGATCGATACTGTTGAGCCAGAAGAAAAGATCAGTCACGAAGGCACAGAAGTAACCGATATGGAACCGGCAACCGCCTAATTGCAATAACGTGGACGGACGATCTGCTATATGCAAACTGTTTGTGCCATGTGTCTCAATGTATGCAGTCTGTTCGATTTGTCTTTCCGGTCTTTTTTTATTTTACCGAACAGTCATCAGAAAGAAATAATTTTTTTCAATGATCAAACACGTCCAGTAACGCATAACGAGCAGCATGAAAAATATGACGCAAGAGAATCACGTGTCAGTGGCCAAGTGAACGAGTCGGTGATTTTGGAATTCGGGTCTGACTTCAGAGAACCTTAACCTTTCTTGCGAAACACGTTGTGTAACCATCCATATATTCTGACAGACAGAGCCGCTGCTTACCGAGGGATTAAATCCACCTTGCCGGTCATCCGCTGGTTGCTGGGAGGCCGAATTTTGAGTTGTTTGCATAGAATCACAGGTTCGTCGGTGGAGCACAGACGGATTGGATGAACGCCTGTCAGTGGAAGGAAGGTCACCTTCCTTATGAGTTTTTGCGGCGCCTAAAAAGAAAAATAGCTGTTAACTAGGTTTGCATGAAGACGAAGTAGCCGACAAATGCTCTACCGAAAAAAGGTATGGTGGGTGATGCCGATGTCAGACAGATAAACCATGCGAGCAAGTAAATAGTCTATCCAAGTAATTTAGCTGTAAGCTGGTCTTGATGGTAACTGATATGCAATTCAGAAGTGGCTCGAGGACTGAACAGCTACCAGTCACCCCAAGATCTAACAGTGAACTATCCAAGAGGCCAGAGCAGCATCCCCGACAAGCCAAAGTTTCCCCTATGGCATGCTTTCGTCAGAGATGAATGTACCCAACCCCATGTTGAACGATGTGACATTCACTAAAGGCTTCCAGTCGAATCAGTGGGCTGTGTTAAGATTGGCTCAGCCTTCAATAAATATATACAGTTTACGCCATTTTAGTATTCATCTGCACATTTCCAGGATGTGAGTAAGCTCTTTTCAGGAACCTTGTAAAAAGATCTACATTCTCCAACTTCTAGCCACTGTAACTATCGAAGAAACTTACCAAGCCTGTGACAGGTTCTTTAGATTGTGCTAGGTTTAATGAAGGAACATTCCAATCTCGATCATCCTCATCACCCATGTTTCTCACTGTCTGCTCAATCGACGAAAGTTGTTAAGTTCTAATCACCACTATGTAGCAGCGGATTCATCAGGTGTTATGAGGTGAGAAATTCTGGTTTCGAGAACGCTAGAAAAGCAGCGAAGAAAGATATTGAGAATGGTTGCCTCAAATTATTCGGTGTCTTACGGCACCAAGGTAATCCGACCGGTGTAGACATGGGCATTGACAATTAACCGTTATCGGGCCAAAGCCATTCCAGGCAATTTTCCAGGATCTCGCACCATCCTGAAGACGAAGTACTGTTGGTTAATACAGACCAACCAAATCAAGCGAATTTTCGAAAAATGTGTTCACTGTGCAGTTTATGTATTCTTTGGAAAGAAATCAATGGCAGCGCCCTAAAACGTGGTCAGCGGCTGATTCCTTATGGCAGCGTTCTTTATATTGGTATCCGACTCAGTCAGCTACTTTTACGATACGTCATCCAGTTTCTTACTTTCAGATTTATTCTACACAGGATACCACTTAGCTAATCCGTGAACTACACATGGCCTAGCATTATTGCAGGAGTTCATGTTTACTTCTACAGTTGCTCGCTACAGCTCTGATCATGACATTCACACTCACCGACTGTGTTCATTTAGTGGGTCAAAGTGCGATCAACGGGACAAGCCGGAACTCATCAGAACACGCGCCTGATGCACGCGGTTGGGGTATCGATAAAAATTGGTACGGCTGAAACCGTAATGAAAAAATTGACAGAAACCAGCAGACTTCAAAAGAAATGGGTGTCCATACAGTGGACATAGTTGGTAGCCCATAATTCCGGATTAGTCCAGCTGGGAAATGAATACCAGATGAACAAACGAACATGCCCCGCAACTTAGAATGAACTCCATAAAACCTACGGAAATCTAAGAAAAATGCAAAGCCTCAATACAACCAGTGTGTACGAACAACCTACCAGTAGATGTTTTGGGTCCAGTAACTTCCTTATTTAAAACGTTGAGGACTTCCGGACCAAGGAATGGCGTCTTGCAGACAATGGGTCTTAAGTGGCGGTCAACAGTAGTTGTTCTTTTTGAGTCAGTCGAAGGTTGATTGGGAAGATCCACTATGGGGGTAAGGGGAACATCGTCAAACCGGCACCGTTTGACCGGCGATTCAGCAGGAAATTTCTCTGAAATCCTTGGGCGTTTGAACCGCACAGGGATGCTAGTGAAATCCAAATGAACTGTTGGTAATTCAGGCAGCCCATTTGTTAGTGGTGTGTTCACTTTTAAGCCCATTTTCACAGAGCTGACTTGGCCGTTCATAACAAAGTTTGATCGACTACGAACAGGGCTGTAGTGGATACCACCATTGAAGAGATCACTAGGTACCGGTGACGGTGGAGTTGGTTTTGGCTGAGTGTTTTCTTTCGTATTCTTTGGGAAAAGTGTAATTTCCAGCTGTTGTTTTGTGGGTGCAAGGAAAGCGACACGTTCCCGGATATCAGGCGGATCCTTCAACAGGCTGGCAAGTTGAAAGCCCTGAAGAGTAATTTCTGAGAGTTCAGAGTCCCTAAGCTGGTGAACAGCCTTCAGCACGGCAGATGGCGTCGAGTAGAGCAGACCTGCGGATCTTGTACGGCTGTCTGTGTCCAATCTCGCATCAAAAACAAAAGGACCAGGTCTTGGCTCTCTATGAGTATATAAACTGGCCAGAGTTTGGATGAAAGCGGAAGAACTGTAAGGGTGTGTGGCCAACAGACAGGGATGATTGCAGATCCTTGACGCTTGAGTAACTGTATGCAGCAAGTCCAGTAGGCCTCCAGCCTTGGAAGCATTGCGTGCACTGTAATAGAGAACAGCGTACGTGATAAAGTAGATGAAAGAGGAAGACAAGCTTTGTAATGAAGACCGAAACCCAGCAAGACCTAGTTAAAAAATTATCGTGAGGCGAAATGAATCTATTGGTTACCACACTCAAAGTGAACTGGATCAAAAATCACCCAGGTCTGAGCTAGGACAAATGCAACTGATCGGTACACATGTGGCTGGAAAATGCAGTGATCTTGGACACTCATCCAATGCGCGAAAGAACAGCCTCCACAGTCACGAACAGTAATTCGCCGCACTATCAAATTATTCAATCCTGGAACTCCGGGCAAGGGATCCGAATCAATCCACTTCCTCAGGTTGAGTGAACAGACATAGTTTCTTGGTACAACTGCTACAGGGCTCTCACAGTGGTGCATTCAACTGGCGACACTCGTTTACTGCTCTACGTACTCTCAAAAGACTTCTATCTTAAGTGCTGCGGCCCAACCACGTTTTCATTCAAATGCCAAGTTTATCCGACAGGTATTCGCTACTACGGAGACCTCGTACCAGCAATAAAAATTTCCTAAGTCAACACAGCCGAAGCGCAAACACACGGCAGCCTAATGAGCGATCTCAGTACAACTCTGGAGATTGTTGTTTACAAGTTCTGATCATTGAAGCAAGTTGATCAACAAGCCTGGCTGAACACACAAAGAACTTTATAGAAATCAAACAAGCGTCTTCGGTTCATTTTCGGATCTAATTGGCCATCACAAAAATTAAATCATCTGAAACGATCTAAACGATATGAATTGATGTTGCCCTGGTACGCCTATCAGCCGCGCATGTGCGACGACAATCAATGTCATGGAAGTCGATTCGCCATATACTCGAAATATGTCGGGGACAGGTGAATTTTCACTAACTAGATGCACACGACGTGTAGAGCGGTTCTCATTGATACACACACGGAGATACACACTCATTGACATGACAGTGAGGGAACCAGTAAAGACGCTCACGTAGTGAGAGAATTTGAGAGCTATTGCTACATTTCGACAGTTGGGTCTATGGGTCACAGAAGAGTTGCCTCGCCTACATAGTGCAATAATTTATTCATTGATTCCCCATTACATTTTCGCCTGCCCGACTACCTGGAGATGACAACTGGATGCGAACGGTGATGGGGGAAATAAGATGACAAAAATGAGCGAACTCAATGTTGCACGGCTGGATAGCCGTTTCCAAACTAGCAGGATACCGTTCGCAAGAAGCCCAGTGCCTATACAATTTCATTTCGTTACCGCTATAGCCCCAGTAAACTGAACAGTGAAATTGGTTCGGACTATTGTAAATTAACACTCTTCAAATTCGTCAAACGAGTAGATTGTTTCAAAGGGAGGTATCCGAGTATTCGGTTTACAAGTAAACTTACACCTTGGACGACATAATCGCATCGTGCACCTTGCGCTGAGCAGCAGTCATTGGACAGTGAACAACCTTTTCGTCACCAGACTCGTACTCTTCCTCTAAGCGCAGGACGAATGGCTCCAAAAACTGTACATAAAAGGAAGCCATAACAATGCCAGCCAATGAGCACAACATCCAAAAAATAATTTAACAATGCTATGTAAAAATATAAATACGTGCTTCGTCTCATCCTAACGTTTCAGTTCACACTGAAAGTTGCTGTCATACACCGTCGACAATCACGGTAGCAGAATGTGATTATTGCGCTCGAGTGGAAAAATAGATTTCGCTAGCTACGAAAACTGCCGGAAACGACCACGAGGAAACATCCCACACGGAGGGAGATCACAGAGAATCCGGGCCAGCATGTTGGATTTTCAGTCATCCAGCCTATAAAAACCTGCATATGACCACCCCCAGTTCCCCAGTCTACCTTCCATTGAAGTAAATAAGAAGCATTCTTACAAAGACCATCTTCAGGCAAGGATCGTCCGACCGTGAGGTAACATGTTTGATAAAAAAATCGTTCAGCTGTAGCACCCTTTCGGTGCCTAGCTGCCATGTCACCCGAAGGAGGCACGAGAGATTGTATACTGCCAGGTTGCCCAAACCTAGACAGGGGAAATCGAGAGGCAGAAGTCGGGTTCGAATCACGGACGTTACGGTCAGTACAATCGCGCTCTAACCACTAAGCAATCTCGGCCCCACAAGTATTACACAAGGCAACACGCAACATATACGGATAAAGTGACATCAATAGAACACATCAAGCACTACCAAACACTTAGCCGATGGACTATTCCGGCGATCTGATTGCTGCCCTTAAAACATCGGAGTATAAGCCGCTTCTGTGCTTGTTCTATCACCCTCCATTATGCCGCAGCACATATCACGCAAGGGCTGGCGCAGTTATGTAACTTCCCCAATGACGTTACAGGATAGAGAAGTGCACACACATCATATGGAATCAGTGCGTTTCAATACCACAAAGTCGATCACATCAGTGGTAGATTCTCAATGATAATCTAACGTTCAGTAACCCCGCCTAACAGTAAAACGAAACCGGTGTTAACCTAAACACACTTCGCAGAACAATTAAATGACCAGTCTGTCGAGCGAAGCTTACGCGATTGCATTCCGATAACACGAACTGAGCGGGTGACTGAACAATGCGAACTGGCCGGAAATTACCGTTCGGAAATTTTCAGGTATGCAACAAGAAGACGATTGTTACGGCTATATGACCACATTTACTTTCAGTCCCATGCGACTTAACCAATGTCAGTTTTTAGTAAGCTAGTAGTGGTAGCCATTTCTGTACTTCTCAATTGTTTTTCGACAATTTGCGCAGGTGAAATCTTAGCATGCACATGCATTGTTTTATTCAGTTACCTGCGAAGCTTGAAACACAAGTCAACAATGCAGTTCTGGCAAGGGATGCATAAGCGTCAATAAAGCTCACTTTGATCAGCTGTTTCTTGGACGGTCGCTCTCTTTTTATGGGCTGATTATCGGGATTTTGTGCAACCCCTTCTACCGCACTGAACAGCTCAGCAGTCCACAGTTTATGCTCTTCAGAGTCTGTTGCACACTGAGACATCAGGAGTCGGCTTAATTCAAACAACCGAAATCCACATGCAGAAGACAGGAGATCCGTGGCCGAGCTGATCAGCAGCCGATGTCCGCTGTAGCGTAACTCTGAAATAAGGGTATCCAAAGAACCGGAAGCAACGGACGATGTACGATCTGACTGATGGCTAGTTTGATTGAGTGTCGGTTCCATAGATTGGGATGAAACTGCAGAATTCTTGCACGAAAACAGGTGATGCACCTAGCAAAAGATGGGAGGAAATCATTCGGGTTATGCAGTATAGTGCGACAAATCCCCTTAGACAATACACTATGGGTTTGATTCCCAGTAGGATTCATCATATGGATGCCGAGTGATCGTATGTGCGTCCGTAAATGCAATGATCGGAAGACTCACCTGATCTAACACCACAACATGCCAACGAATACGCGAATACCGACTGGGACGAGCGAGAATGGCCGCATAACTTGTTATGCAGACATTAACAGCGCCCCGAACAACGGAAGATCGTAAACGTCGACCTGTTCCAGATGGTTCACCTCCGGCAGTTGTTCCACATGCACCCACACCCAAACAGGTTATTCGAAGACCAGGACACCAGTTAGAGAGGCGAGTTCGCCAAACCGGAATGCATAAACGAGGAGCTACAATCAGATGCGGACCCCAGTCCCCAGTCTCGTTCAATGAAACCTGCTTTGGTAAGCATCCCGGCCAGAATGAATCGAAAGAGTGAGCAACAGGAACGAGAAGTTGACCCAAATGGGCTGCGACGGCCAATTCCGCGTCACCAGAGATTGCACTTTGCGATAATAGAAGTCCAGGAACTCCTCGGGAAACAGCATGGCGCAGCCAAGTTACGATTGAACCTGAAATAGTCATGGAGGACTATCAGGAATCTGATATTTGTAACCCAAGAAATAGCATGGAAATGGTAGAAACAAACTTGTCATGCCTTGCACAGGCTCTGTCGTACCAAATTTTACTGAAACCCAGTGGAGTGGGAAACAACTTATTGAAAGTACGCCTAAACGGAGTACGAGCTGATTAAATTTTATATGCTCAACAAGCGTATAAACTACGGAAAACAACGTGGTAACAAGTCGACGTGGGCAGTCTGATGGTTGCGACGAAGTTTACCTCCGTCCGCCTTACCTGCATTATCCGAATCACTAGGAGGAATTGTCTCCTTCGATGTAAAATCGGGAAAAAACGGAATGACCTTTCTTGACGGAACACGCGACTCGTGAGGGTGCTGAACGAAACGAATGCAGACACGCAATGCGAGATAATCTATTCACACTTTGATATCTATTTGGGACAGAAGAGCTATTTGAACCACATGGACCTGCATCAGGACCCAACCGGATAATCTGCCTACGGTAGCATCGAGAAATCCGGGGAACATAGATTGTATCCACTGGCTAAATGCAGTAAAGTGCCAGGTGAAATAAATACAGCCTAGTGATGGACTGATTCGAATTTTGAGCGCGGATGCACCAGTTACACTGGCATCAGAAGCAGCATGGGCTGGAAAAGCCCTAAGAATTCTCATAGTATATGCTTGAGTAAACGGGGAACCAGTGCACGTGCAAGCTCTCGTTAAGTGAGAACAGAAGGCAAAAACAAGTTCACATCATCCAGGGGCCAGCTGCGTAGCCTTCAGACTTTGGTTCAGCTGAGATAAAATACCGTGAATTTGATGGCTGAAGAGTATGCTATCCTGCAACTTACACGAAAACCCCTTAGAGAACCTGCATTACCTATGCTAGGGCAATTAGTGAAAACGGAAAGTTTACTAATCTCGGTTGATTGGTGTATCAACAACACAGGTATTGCTAACGGTGTGACAGCGTATAATACTGATGATGCATGTGAGTAGTCTAGGGTCTCATGTCCAAGCTCCGCCCCCACATTCGATGGAAGGTGAAGGTTACCACGGAAAATATGGAACCGCTTTGCAGTCCACTATCAATTAGTATTCGGTGAACGTCCAAGGAAGTTCAACAAGGCGCCTGAGAATGTCCATTTTTCAAAACCTGCGCAGATGAGGTGTTTACTTTCGTGTCTAATGGCTCGTAAGTGCTTGGCTCGTGTTTGCTAACAAATAACTTCGCAGCGAAGGGCTTTCCATCCTTCAGTGGTACTTCGTTGCTGATTGGTATGTATTAAAGCTATTGTCACTCGACATATCCTAAGACTAGTTCGGAGAACCATGCTAATAATGGAGTACGGTTTCCGTTCTGCAGCTATTTATTACTTACAATTTACTCCAAAACCTCTGAGAACTCGAGGGAACCTGACAGATACAGCCCTTCCCCCAAAACAGGATATCACTGTTAAAGGAGATATCAGGACTATATGATGGCTTCCCTTATGAGGGAATAAGAAACAAGTCATAGCTGACAAGCAAGGTTGCTGTGGCGTATCAACGGAGGGGAACCAATCTAAGGGGGGTTTCTTTGGGGGAGACTCGCATAGTTAAATGAGTTGGCGAATCTACAGCGTACCAGTTTGTAGACCACAAATCTACCGATGACAAGGTGTTGCAAAATGGTTTACGCGCCCTAATTCGAATGTCAACTCAAGTACCGCCGAGTTAAGAAACAAAAGCATATGCCTTTTGCCAAACGTGCCATTCAGTGCAGCCCGTCCCAAAGTAGGGCCTGTCCCTCATTTAGGCTGTCAGTGAGATAAATATAAAGGTGATTACACCTTATTCCTATAGGATGGCAGCACATCCCCAAAAATGACTACTGAATAAATAGGCGCTTGTTCACAAATACGGACACTAATTCAGAGAGAAAAAACATGTTGAACATATGAACGACCAAAGTATGGATCATTGTGTCCACCAAACGACATTAAAGGCGGTTGGTCGTAAACTGATGAGACATTCACGGAAACGAGAGCAAACTGGAAAGGAAGACATACCGACACTGGTGGATGGAAGGAATCGAACACGAAATGCCGGGCTGTATGCCGTTGCTAGAAGGGCCGAAGAAGAGGAACACGAATTTACGTTGGGCTTCAACAATGGGGAAAGTTGGAGTGCCGCCCAGCGTAGCTCGTTCGGATTAGTTATTCTGGTCAGAGGAGTTTGGACATCATTCCAAGGCGAGTCAACGGGTCCCGTAGAGTTGTCCTGCGGTTTGGTCTTTCGATAATCTTCGTCTTCCAGTAGATCGTTGACACAATCAGTCTCCGAGATGCCCCCATTCTGTGAGTCAGCTAGATCATTGGGATGGTCATTATGAGTGTCCATCATACTATGATGGGATGCACCGTTGTGTTCACCCGGGATTATATGCTTATCAGAATCCAGGTAGCCAGGAGGTAAAATACCGTCAAGGGAGTTCTCAGCGTCAGTTTTCAACAGGACTACTTCCGAATTTTCGTCCTAAAAAGGGAAGTCCGGTTGATGGGAGTTTAGCAACCAGAGTAAACTTCAGTGAAGCTGCAAATAATCGTTAGAACAGTTACGAAAATCGGCAAACTCGATCCAAACTAAATGTTCAGAAGAAGCATGTGACAAATTAACTAGGTGAAGAGAGTCAGTGGTGTAGGTGTACACTTGTGAAGAGTAATCCGAGTCTGAGACAGCGGTCGAATCCGGTAATGACTATTCGATTGTTGTTGACTGGGTGTAAGTGTACCGAGAGGATCATCTGAGAGCCCCGGTAACAGAACAGATACGTCTTTCAGCAATAGTAGCCTCGCACATACGATACCTTCCCGGTCACAGAGAACAGTCAGTCAACTGAAGGCAGATACGTTTTCGAAGTCATTTTTACACACCGTTGCGCCAATCGCTAAGACGAAAAAACAGGCGTGTTTCTGCTAGCTTAAAGGAACAGTGTAGGAGTAGCGTTTGCATAACAAAAAAACTGTTTGCTTCAACAACTGTCTCATTTTGTGCACCCGACAATCAAAGTAACTTCTGAAAAAAGGACAATATGTGGAGCGGCACCAAGCGGGATTGGAGCGCCATGCTCTTTTCGCTCTGGTACAACAGGAAAGCAGCCCAATATTGGGATACTATGATCAAAGGTCGCTATTGTGTGGTTGCGATCAGTTTTCAAATTAGCCCTTGAAAATGAGGTGGAGAACTGGTGAACAATTACAGAAATGAATTATCACGGTACCAGCACAAATCGCCATCCTACAGGGTTTGCCGCAGATAAATCATAAATTCATAAATTAAATGGCGCAATGTTTAAAATCTTCGTAAAATTGTTCAAGTCGGTAGATACCACAAGCATTATACATATTGAGTGAAATTAAGAGACATTAAGTGACGATATTTCCTAGGAAAAACAGGCGGTTCGGTAAGTTGAAAAATGGTTCGCATTTACTCACTTTCAAATAAACCTCCGAAAAACGCTGTCAGTACCGTCCCGTATTATTAGAGGACAGTATGATTTCATCGGCACTAGTAAAAAAGCACATTTGAGTAGGGTAGCATAAAAGTGAAGACGCGGTAGAACCATGTCTCCACTTACGTCAGATTCGGCATCTGCAAAGAAAGATTCCGGGCTCATTGGTTTAGAAGACAATTGAATTCCGGGTGACGCAGTGGATCGGCCCATGTCATCTTCCAAACGTTGTAGTTGATTGCGAGCCGAAAGTAACTGATGGAGAGGGAGAGCAGCTTCCAAGATCAGAGCCTCAAGTTCCGTACGCTCCACAACAGGTGAGGCATTAAGGCTGTCCTCTTGGGATTTAAGCACTGTGTTATTCTGCGCTATCTGTTCTTGTTGGTGAACTGCTTCTAGTTTCAGCGTAGACGTCATCGGATCAGTTGTCCTCAGGGTTCGACCGTCAGACCTCCGCTCGCGAAACGTGGATTCTTCATGCTGTTGCTTGAGGAAGTAGGTTGGTTGAAATTCACTTACCCCGAAAACACTGGCATCGCTGTCATCAACAAAGCTTGCGGCGCGGCTGCTGCTCGTTGACCGGCTGTGAGGTTCATCAGAGTCAGACTCGCTGCTGTGAGGACCAGGAAGCCAGTCACTGTCATGCGAATCCCCGTCACTTCGTAAGGCTTTAAAATCAGGGCTCGAAGACCGTGGCCATTCAAAGAAAGGTGAGACTTCGTATGGAACCCGAGCAACCCATGATGGTCCGAGATCTGAACATGTGGTGAGCGCCAATTTATTTAGTTTCGAGAGCTGCGCAGAATGCTGACGGTTCGCACTTTCCCTCAGGAATTCCAAGCTCTACAGCAAAACAACGCAAGGATTTTTAAGTTGGTAAAAAAAACATTGAAGTGATGACACGGTAGCTACTGGATGATGGCACTCTACAATGAGTTGTCTGAGAAATTCCTCAATTTTGCATACCGTCTAACACACATGAGATCACGTCCGTCTCTTATTAAACATGTGCAATATCCTAGGAACTGTCCGAATTGACCCGAACTTACTTGGAACAGGTTATTACCGTTGTAGCTTGTCATGAGATCATCTGAGACCATATGGAATAAAAATTAAATGAGGCGATCTGAGATAAACGATAACCCAGCATCAGGTCTTTCGTATCCCAGGTGACTGCTAATAGAATGGACACGTGATAAGGCAGTAAGCAATAAACTAGATAAAAATTATGCAAAATCGGCACTTACAGTCCGCCAACATCTTGAAACAATGGTCCATCACACAAAACCTTGTCCAAGGCTGAAGCTGTGAAGGTCGCTTAATTAAGCCGTTCCAAAAGCTAAATTACAACCTACTGAGAACTTGGTAGTGCATTAAGTCACTTCTACATCGTCGCTTGGAGTGATGACATGGGCATTTCACAATGAGGATACGGCTACATTTGAAAATGAGTGAACTAAAGATGAAAGGTCAATAATGAGAAGGGTGAGATATAGGCGGCTCTTTAGAAGTTGAACACTGAACATACACCCTACAATCAGGAGGGTCGAAGTACTGTACTAGTTCGAAGTGAGGCGTAGCCTGTAACAAATCCCAACAAAACCCCAACAACCCCCGGTGGGATATCCGTGAAGCCAGTTTGTTTTTAGATGAGGGGTATACAACGAGAAACACTTAGTGCAAATTGGCGAGGGATTACTAACAACCATCATTGGAAGAAAACAGATGGGCGTTTTACTGTTCAAACCTAGATCCTGGTCCATATGTCCCTCATATGGTGTTCGTTAGACAGCAAGAAACTCGACAGTCTGCATCGTCTAAGAGGGGCTGCACAAGCAATACGACATCGTGATTTGGATGTTCTGTACAGTTGTTAAATAGTACCCAAATCAATAATATTCTGAACGAAATTCAAAAGCTCAAACTTTGGGCAATGAGTCACTAAGGAGGGACTGTGACAGATCTTCAGTCTGGGGGAACAACCAATCAAGGGAAGATTATAGGCACTAAGCCGCTAACTCAATCACCAGACACATACCTCATTAACATGTCTCCACCAATCCCGAACAATAGTTGCAACGTAGGCGGCATTGCGCTTACGACACAGTTCCTCAGCCAACTGGCATTGGCGATTCCATTCTAGGCGAAGGACTAGATAATTCCGAGCAGCTTCAGCTAACTGTATCGACAAGAAACAACGAAAAGCAATTCAGAAAAAGCAGCGGTAAATGGCATATGAAATACACACGGTCAAATCACGTATAGCAGTGGTCAAGAAGGTTCCGCTACACATTCAAACTGAGCCAATTAATCCGCATTACTAGGCTCGGTTGAAATCGACAGCACCACTTAAACGCCGCACTATCTGACCGCAAATAAGCTATACAGCTATACAGCTATACGTAGCAGTGAGTAGTGTAACGCGGTAATCCACACCGCACCACACGTGGAACGCAGATTTCGCAAAACCTTCACCTTCTCATTTTTTTATGAGAAGCTTCGTCGGGACGCTTGAAATGGATGCTGAATCAGAACCGATTCAAAGCGGCAGGATAAGACACATCGTCTGAGTGCTCGGAGTAGCTGTTAACAGACTTTCAAATTTCCTAATTACGACCGTAATCTCACCAAACCCATTTGCAAGGTCGCCTTCGCTGCAAAACTTCCGGTTCGAAAGAAAAATGAATCGAAATGTAAAAAGATGGGGCGTGAAAAACAGAACAGTAACGCGCGCGTAAGTCGCGGTTGCTTTAGAGAGCATACATACTAACTGTTAGCAATGGGGTTAAGTCTGACGCTAGGATGATGTTCAGTACGAGTGGCAACGCTCATGTGGACGTGAAGCACTGTACTACTGTCGTTGTTCGGTTACAATTACAGATTCAGATGAGAATAACCATACTTTGTGCGCGGCCTTTCAACCTCATTTGAACGTAAATTCAGCCGTTCTACCTGTTAATTACCAGTGCGAATCACCTTATACTCTAATGGGGAAGTCACAAATGGACTTAAGGATGAGGACGACTGACACAAAACGCTTATTCAAATAGTTCCCGACCATTAAAAGCAAGCACACTCAGCTTCGAAAATAGAAGTAGAAAAATGATTCTGTCATTATGGATAGTGGGGAAAGGTGGCACATGTTGTGGACCACGTTTTCTTAATGTATTCTTAATACCGTGGACCCAAGTGTGGACAGCCGCTTGAGAGCCTGGTGCTCTTAGCCAAACCAGAAAGCCAATGAAAGTGCGAATCAGCCAATCTATTGAACACTGACGCGTACAGGCGTGTTATGTGCAGCCGAAAACGGGCTGTATGTAAAGCGAATTCCAAGCTCTACAGCAAAACAACGCAAGGATTTTTAAGTTGGTAAAAAAAACATTGAAGTGATGACACGGTAGCTACTGGATGATGGCACTCTACAATGAGTTGTCTGAGAAATTCCTCAATTTTGCATACCGTCTAACACACATGAGATCACGTCCGTCTCTTATTAAACATGTGCAATATCCTAGGAACTGTCCGAATTGACCCGAACTTACTTGGAACAGGTTATTACCGTTGTAGCTTGTCATGAGATCATCTGAGACCATATGGAATAAAAATTAAATGAGGCGATCTGAGATAAACGATAACCCAGCATCAGGTCTTTCGTATCCCAGGTGACTGCTAATAGAATGGACACGTGATAAGGCAGTAAGCAATAAACTAGATAAAAATTATGCAAAATCGGCACTTACAGTCCGCCAACATCTTGAAACAATGGTCCATCACACAAAACCTTGTCCAAGGCTGAAGCTGTGAAGGTCGCTTAATTAAGCCGTTCCAAAAGCTAAATTACAACCTACTGAGAACTTGGTAGTGCATTAAGTCACTTCTACATCGTCGCTTGGAGTGATGACATGGGCATTTCACAATGAGGATACGGCTACATTTGAAAATGAGTGAACTAAAGATGAAAGGTCAATAATGAGAAGGGTGAGATATAGGCGGCTCTTTAGAAGTTGAACACTGAACATACACCCTACAATCAGGAGGGTCGAAGTACTGTACTAGTTCGAAGTGAGGCGTAGCCTGTAACAAATCCCAACAAAACCCCAACAACCCCCGGTGGGATATCCGTGAAGCCAGTTTGTTTTTAGATGAGGGGTATACAACGAGAAACACTTAGTGCAAATTGGCGAGGGATTACTAACAACCATCATTGGAAGAAAACAGATGGGCGTTTTACTGTTCAAACCTAGATCCTGGTCCATATGTCCCTCATATGGTGTTCGTTAGACAGCAAGAAACTCGACAGTCTGCATCGTCTAAGAGGGGCTGCACAAGCAATACGACATCGTGATTTGGATGTTCTGTACAGTTGTTAAATAGTACCCAAATCAATAATATTCTGAACGAAATTCAAAAGCTCAAACTTTGGGCAATGAGTCACTAAGGAGGGACTGTGACAGATCTTCAGTCTGGGGGAACAACCAATCAAGGGAAGATTATAGGCACTAAGCCGCTAACTCAATCACCAGACACATACCTCATTAACATGTCTCCACCAATCCCGAACAATAGTTGCAACGTAGGCGGCATTGCGCTTACGACACAGTTCCTCAGCCAACTGGCATTGGCGATTCCATTCTAGGCGAAGGACTAGATAATTCCGAGCAGCTTCAGCTAACTGTATCGACAAGAAACAACGAAAAGCAATTCAGAAAAAGCAGCGGTAAATGGCATATGAAATACACACGGTCAAATCACGTATAGCAGTGGTCAAGAAGGTTCCGCTACACATTCAAACTGAGCCAATTAATCCGCATTACTAGGCTCGGTTGAAATCGACAGCACCACTTAAACGCCGCACTATCTGACCGCAAATAAGCTATACAGCTATACAGCTATACAGCTATACAGCTATACGTAGCAGTGAGTAGTGTAACGCGGTAATCCACACCGCACCACACGTGGAACGCAGATTTCGCAAAACCTTCACCTTCTCATTTTTTTATGAGAAGCTTCGTCGGGACGCTTGAAATGGATGCTGAATCAGAACCGATTCAAAGCGGCAGGATAAGACACATCGTCTGAGTGCTCGGAGTAGCTGTTAACAGACTTTCAAATTTCCTAATTACGACCGTAATCTCACCAAACCCATTTGCAAGGTCGCCTTCGCTGCAAAACTTCCGGTTCGAAAGAAAAATGAATCGAAATGTAAAAAGATGGGGCGTGAAAAACAGAACAGTAACGCGCGCGTAAGTCGCGGTTGCTTTAGAGAGCATACATACTAACTGTTAGCAATGGGGTTAAGTCTGACGCTAGGATGATGTTCAGTACGAGTGGCAACGCTCATGTGGACGTGAAGCACTGTACTACTGTCGTTGTTCGGTTACAATTACAGATTCAGATGAGAATAACCATACTTTGTGCGCGGCCTTTCAACCTCATTTGAACGTAAATTCAGCCGTTCTACCTGTTAATTACCAGTGCGAATCACCTTATACTCTAATGGGGAAGTCACAAATGGACTTAAGGATGAGGACGACTGACACAAAACGCTTATTCAAATAGTTCCCGACCATTAAAAGCAAGCACACTCAGCTTCGAAAATAGAAGTAGAAAAATGATTCTGTCATTATGGATAGTGGGGAAAGGTGGCACATGTTGTGGACCACGTTTTCTTAATGTATTCTTAATACCGTGGACCCAAGTGTGGACAGCCGCTTGAGAGCCTGGTGCTCTTAGCCAAACCAGAAAGCCAATGAAAGTGCGAATCAGCCAATCTATTGAACACTGACGCGTACAGGCGTGTTATGTGCAGCCGAAAACGGGCTGTATGTAAAGCTCAAGTGGAACGTTCCAGGCGGGCCAAAAGGTGATACTAAAAATAGAACTCATCTGTCAGGTGCAAGTGAAGAACAACCAATTAAATCTGCCTCCTCCAAAGGTTCCACCATCAGATGCGAACTCATACTGGGACGAAATTGCCACATCTTTGCACAGTGATGGAAATTTCGCCTGTGGTACGGCACCACCAGGGTCACTCAAGCACTGGATATCAAACCGAACGGTGGCGGTGCTTAAATTTCGGAGAAATATCCCAGCCGGCCCCGAACATAGCTTGATGCGACGAATTATCAGACGCCAAGCGAAGGTGAGCGTGCAGGTCGACCGTGAAGTGTGGTGGACACAGAAAGCCAAAGAAATGGAAGAGGCCCAGAAAGCCGGGAATGCCTTAAGATTATTTCAGTTGATCCGTGCAACCGTCCCCGGAAACTACGTGTGAGCAAATCCATCAACGATCGGAATTAAGTGAGCATTTCGAACGAAGAACACCTCGACCGATGAGCCGAATACTTCGAAAACAATTGTCATGGCCTCAAGCTGGCACCAATCTTGTGCCTATAGGTTACTTAGAAACCTGAGCGGTGAGTGTCGAAGCCCCTACGGCTTCGAAGGTTTATGACTGCATATGTACTCTAAAGCTCCACCGAGCCCCTGGTCTGTACGACCTCCCACCCGCATTGTTCAGATAGGGGTGAAGTCCTTAGTCAGCGCTTGTCCAATCTGTTTGCCTGTGCTTGTGCTTGTCCCAGACAACTGGAGAGAGTCGATGATTCTACCCATTTTCAAAAACGGGGCTCATAGTGTGTGGCAACTACAGAGGCATCAGCTTGCCCCCGGTCGTAACGAAACTGTTGGCGTCACTAGTGCTTCGTCGCCTCATGGTGGCTCGTGAAACACTGACTCGAGGGCAGCAAGCGGGATTCCGTTCTGGTAGTTGTGTTGAGCAAATCTTCACATTTCGTCATGTGCTAGAACAACGACATACGTATAAGCGATCCAAAATTCTAGTGTTCCTGAATTTCCAAGGCGCACTTGACTCGGTTGACCGGCCTGTCCTGCTTGACACGTTTGCCCACCAAGGAATGCCCCGGAAGTTTGTAAACATAATAAGTTATTTGTATTCCCAGGACTTCCGGACGTGCGGGAGTATAAGGCGAGCTCTCCAAAAGCTTCCGTACACAAAGTGGTGCCCGTCGGGGATGCCCACTCTCCCCATCCCTGTTTAACTTCGGGATCGATGAAATCATTAGACGAACGCTGGAAGGTCTGCAAAACCCTAATGTTCAAATAGCCAGTGACGAAAAGCTTGTGGATCTGGAATATGCAAACGATAACGTTCTCGTTTTCGAAGACGAGGATAAAGCGCGCTTTTTGGATGAACTGACCAAAGTCATCCCGACCTTTGGTATTCACCGTGCACTCGCAAAGTTTAAGGTTATGTTCCCGGACATTCAATCATTGAACACGCCACTTACAATCCAGGGCGAGGCACTGGAAGTTGTAGTGTTTTACGCAGCGTGACAAATGAGATGAACGTACGAACCTGCTAGGCCCGGGTTGTGACTGCTAATTTGAGACACCAAAATGGTGCACCCCTTGAATCTCAAGGGATGTATGTATCAAGCCACACTGCGGGCTGAGACTTGGCCTGTTCGAACATAATGAGAAAATCCCTGTTGTAGGCAGCGAAGCGTCGGTGCTGAACAGTGGTGTCATGCCCAAGTGCATCCAGCTGGGCCTATGTTTTGCCAAGCTAATGCTTTCGTGGAGTGTAGACAGTAGGACGTGTTAGCTCGAGTCCGCAGGTCTAATGGGAACGTCATACATGCATATGATCATCAACAATGAGATCATACATATCGTTCAACATCATATAATTCATTGTATTGTGCACAATACAACATGCGATGATTAATAACCATAGTATATAGTAATGGAAATAAAACTTTAGTAACAATAACAAAATAATTCTGATCTTTCCTGTCTTCCGTAGTTTTCGGTTTTGGAAACATTAATTCTGAGATGACCAGCAGCCATGATGGTGGCATACATAACAACGGTCGTGCGATACTGTCACGGCCATTCTTCGAAAATTACGACACGGGGTCCCCTTAATTCAATTCAACACCGAAGAGGATGAGAAGTTAGCCCTTCAATCACTTTCATCAGCCGCACAACGTAAACAGGCTGAAGTATATGCACCAGTGCAGTGACAATGATAGTGAGCATCGCATGCATCACAAAGGGTAAATCATGACCTACGTCCATGGTATTCAAATTGTTTGAGCGAGAATGTCATGTGCACACTGTCGGTGGTTACATTCAGATGAAAAAGACATCTATCTTCTTAAATCATGCACTTCAGGGAGAGTACCGGAGGATACAATTTGGCATGGTGCTGTTTTTTCGAGTTGTTGCATTGCAACGCTGCAGTGCTGTAGTAGAATGGTGAATTCAGGCCTGAAATTTTTTTACACATGTGCTGGAAGGATGGGTTCGTTGCGAAGTATCATATGGAAATATAACCTATACATCGGGGGTAGTGACACTGCTCATCGAGGAACTAGTGATTGCAATCCACTTCATAGCTGCGTACAATACTTTATATTGGTGTGAATATGTACTTATTGATGCTTGCAGTTCTAACGTGTTAAACGGTCGTGAGTAAAAATAACGTAAGAGCTTCCAGCGGTAAAATCGAAATCGCTCAGCTGTAGCACTCTTTCGGTGCCTAACTGCCATGCCACCCGAAGGTTGCACGAGGGCTTGGATACTGCCAGGTTGCCCAAGTCAAGACAGGGTAAGTCGAGAGGTAAAGATCAGGTTCGAAATACGAAACTCCCGGTCAGTAAATTCGCGCTCTAGCAACTTGAACCGTCTCGCCACCAGTCCACCCGTGGTTAATGGCAAATAAACTAAATCAATTGCATGAACAAAGTCAAAAACCTCTACAAATTCACGGAAAATGCCAACATTTGTAAGCTTGCTTCGAAGATGCATGAAATATGTGTATATACATATACGATATATATAATATTTATATAATAAAATGGTTAGAACAACCTTTCCATGAAATCAGACTGGTTTTGAACAAAGCTGAAATTACCATTCTGTCATTAACATCATATACCAGCGGTAAATACTGGTGCTTAACTGCTTAACAGAATGTAAAAAGCAACAGATATTAACGAGGGCTTGACATTCATCGGAGACGAGAAGAGATAGGGAGCCTCAAGGAAGAGGCACTCCGCTGACAGTCTACAGAATCTGCGTAAACTTCGAAAACAAATTTACATGCTTTCAGCCGAATGCTCAAGTTAAGACCTTAGATCACCACTCTAGTTACTTTTTCCAGCGGTGACATTCTGAGTCCTGGTTCATTCATGGGAGTCCGTAAACGAGGAAGCTACTCAAGTGTGCGCGGATTTTCACAAACCACCACTAGACTCATAACTACATGCTAGATGCAATGGAAAGCACGACCTTGAAAACAAGACTAGTCCACCGGACCAACTGATCAAACTGGATGATGAGGTCTAACGGCTGGAAGCCTACTCTTAGACACGGATAAAATGTAACGATTCAGGTAGCGTCCCTTTATAGTCTCCCTGTCATCCACTCACAGTTGGCGACCTCTGTTCACATTTCACTGCGTGCCGCTCTAGCAGGGGAAGATCAATTAGCCAAAACGACCAAGCAGTCTATGAAATAGGCAATATCAAAGGTCAACGAACTTTTGCGTAGTGTAGCCGTAGCATAACTCACTACCTATAGGGTTTCTGAAAGCTCGTCGTTACTACTGGTTTTGTTCTTCCCAGACACATCAGGTGACCGTAATCTCCGAGTTCCCGTCAACCCTATGTTCCGTTTGAACACCAAATTGCACGCAACCCACCGAATGCACTCATTTTTAAATTACATAGGTGTTAATGGGCGACTCAACTAAATCTCTAGTTTATGATATTTTTCGAACGACTACTGAACAGGATCACCTCATGTTTCCGTAAGCACTACATTCGAGAATTATTTCCTCTCGACATAACACGCTACTAATAAGGCTGCTGAAAGCCTTTCGACCTGTCGACCTTTCGACAGATTTCGTCATCAGGTGGGCATAGGCTCGAGTTTCCGTCAGACTTGTTTTTTACGTGAACATCGAATTGCATGCAAATGATTCGAATGAATCTCACATCATAAACGAAGGATCTAGTTTAGTCTAGTGGTTCAAAGGTCAAAAAAACTATCTGGTGATCAAGTAACGAAATAGCTTGACAATTACTCACGTTGCGAGCCATGTTCATCTTCCATTTGCGTTCCTCGCAGAAGTCTACTGCCATCCACGTGACCTCTTCCAAAAAACAATCATTCCAGGTGTACTCAGGTACAGGTTCCATGACTTTTGGCAGGCGTCCAGCAGACCAAACGCCTTGCTGACGCAACTGTGCAATTTGCTCGAGAACAGTGGTTTCCAGTCGTGCATCTTGTGCTATTACCGGGTTGATGGTATTACGCTGACTCAGAGGCTGAATAGGACGTTCGGCGACAGGCATTTGTTTGTCATCCGAAGACACGGACAAGTCAACCTTAGATGGAAGATAGACGCAGTATCTAGGTGATAAACAGCCTGAACGCGGATACACCGTGGAAAAGGGTGGCATTAGTGGCTTGCTGCAATTCTCTGAAAGTTCGCTTCCTGGACCGCCTTTTGAATGCACACATGATTGCACTTGAGAAAAAACATCTGCGTCGTCCAAGGAGTCGAGTTCCTGATTTATGAGGTCAACCTTGTGTTCCTCCCACTTGACAGGACAAACTTTAACCAAATCTTCTTCCCCTAATACTTCGTCTTCATCCGAGCGATTGCGCTTTGGAGGAAAAAGGAAATCCGTTACATTACTGTACATTATAGCAATGTCTTGTCCGAATGAACAAATGCACACCGCCTGTTGAAATGCCGAAGGCGGTACGATGCTGGACGAACATAGGCTGATTGAATGAGCCGACTAAACGTGAGACTACAGTTAACAACTTCCAGGCCTGGTGTGTTAGTCTCCAAAGGAAGCTACAAAAGAGAAATGTAGAACACATGATGCACAGACACCTTTAAAGCAGTTAATCTCATCCTTATGAGAAGGTAAATGGCGTGAGATCATATGGCTATCAGGAGAAAAATGAAGCGCTTTGATTTACCTAAACAGATGCCCAAAATTTTCCCATGTGACCTGGCTACTTTTGAATTGTTCTTGTTTTCAGCCTAAACGCGGGCATCGAAGTGCAGTGGTTCTAGGTTACACCCTCGTTCGCCAAGAATCATCACCAGAAATAGAAACACTGGTGTTTCACTGCCGTACAACTGCAAAGTCTACCTAGCGATCCTTAGAGCCTTAAAGTGAATACAGAAGAGTGGATGAGGCGAGGACCCGGTCTCAGCCTCCCGGAGGCTATTCTGAGGTGCCTACACTCCCAAGCGCTGAATCAAGCCAATCTGGAGAGAAACCAATTGCACGGACGCCACTAACATCGACTACCGCCATTTCTTGCATTGTCTCCAACAGAACACGAGCGACGATGAAGCTACCCTAAACATGGAGAACAGACAGTAGTAACAAATCCCAAATTCTTTACAATCCCTTCCATGCCTTTTTTCAAGTCACACGCTATCCACCTAACAGTCTGCATCATTATGGAAGCACGGGGAACAACATTAACCTAGGTAGACAATATTTCGACATGTGCAGCACATGGCCGAGTTACTGCAGCTGAAAGTGTTGAGTTTTTATGACTGAAGTACCTACCACGCAACCAAATACGCGGCCTTTAATTACCTAGTTACCAATCCATTCATCATCACTATCACCGACAGCATAATTTCAGTGCGAAAATACTGATGCTACGCTACCGTACACCATTTGCCCGAAGTGACGCGACATCGATTCTCAAAAACTTGGAGACACCTCATAACACCTATCAGCAGAGGCCAAGTCCCCGAACCATACAACAATACAGCTCTTATGGCAGCCAGGTCCACACTGTCATTCCTACCAGACGATATGGCTTTTTGACGCCACAAGTGAAGCTAATTAGCAAACGTGATTCTGGCGTTTGAGATTTCCGCGCAGAGTTCTCCGGACCCTTTCGCCACAACCAATACAGCTACATCATCAGCTGTAATAACCGCGTACAGTGGTTCTAGCTGACACAAATTCGTTCAGCGATGATTTGGAGAGAGAGATGGTCGTTCAGCTATAGCACCCTTCCGGTGCCTAACTGTCAGGCCACCCAAAGGAAGCACGGAGGCTGGGATACTGCCAAGCTGTCCAAGCCAAGATAAAGGAAGCCGAGAAAAAGAGGTCGGGTTCGAATCACGGGCCATCCGATCAGAAAATTCGGTGGCTGCTATAATGGGTATGTAAACAGGGGTCAATGAACTTTCCATTGGGTAGATTGGGTAGGGAGTTAAGTATTGAAGGCAATAGCTTGGATGCACGAGTGCCATTGGGGGCGTCACTGGGCCACGTCTGACAATGTCTCTAACCATTGTGTCACGGCTCGGGGTCTCCATTCAGGGAAACAGCAATGACCAGCGCAGCTGAGTTCCCCGGTAACGGCTCTCAAACTTTGCTGCCAAGTCATTGTTTGATCCCCACTTGCCTCATTCCTACCAAAAGGGCTTTTCGAGGAAGCTGGGTAAGTGGAATACAGAGCACGTGACCAAGCCAGCGGAACTTATGTTATGTGACCAATTAATCTATCGTGGGTGAGTTGTTTATTCTGAAAACTACTCGACATGCCTCAGCTTTACTGATTCGGAGTTCTCACCAGATCCAGGTAATGCTCCAAAGACATCGATGGACATATAATGAAGGTGTTTTGACGTCCCCAGTGAGCAGCGGCCAAGTTTCTAACCCATATCATCATCAGTAACATCATCAGAGACTGCAAAACCAATGTTGACGTTGATGCTTCGCTGCCGTCCACTAGTCCACACAATAATACGGAGAGCACTAAAGCACTACCAACTCGACCCTTCGCGCATAAGCTGTCAACAACCTCCCCAATCCGGGTAGAAATATCATCTTTGGCGAGACCGCCGGGATTAATACAGCTTCCCAGGTAAAAAAAATGATCTACCACCTCAATCGACTCATCCGCAAGCATGAGGCTAGGGTTCGAGCCCACTCAGTCTTGCAGTAGCACTTCACACCTTGCACGTGAGAAGCGCATGCCGAACCGTGAGGCAGAATTATTTGGATCATTTAACACTGTCTGCATTACCACGGGTCAGGTCCATGAAGAGCTACGTCATCAGGGTACTCGATATCTGTGAGTGGACGCCCTGGGGGCACTTCGACCCCACAGGCATTAGAGGCTGATAGTGAGTCTTCCATGATTGTATTAATGACGAAGTTGGAGAGGAACGGTGAAAGAGGACAGTCCTGTCTGATACCACATGATGTGGTAAACTCACAAGAGAGCTTCCCGTAGACCTTCACACGGCCGCGGGAGTTGGTGCACAGCGCCTTAAGGAGGCTCAAAAATTTATGGGGGACTTGCTTGCTCCACCGACACTGCCATCGTGCCTGACGGTCCACAGAGTCAAAGCCAGCTTTCAGATCGAGAAGCACAACCATTATTGGTTGCTGGAATCAGCATCGCTGTTCCAGGATCTGTCGGAGAGTGGAAGATATGATCGATGCATTCTCTTGCAGGACGGGACCCAGCTTGGCTTTCACGGATCTCAGTCAACTTTCGAAGGATAAGGTCAGAGAGCACCTTCGATGCCACAGCTAACAAGCTAATACCACGGTAGTTTTCACAGGGCGCGCGTACCCACTTTGAAGATAGCTGTCGACATGCCCAATTCTACAGGCACTTTCACTTCGTTCTATATAGCACCAATAAGCTCTGTCAGGCAGGCCAACGGGGACTTCCTTTGAAGAGGGCTGGATACAGATCGTTCCGTCCTGGTGCCTTCTCACGTCTCAGTAAGGGTATTTCGTATCTTGTTTCTTCTTCTGAAGGGCGATCAAGATTTACATTCCATTCGCCTGTATACATTATTTCCACACGCCATGTTGCCGGAGGCCAGCTAAACCGTCCTTCGAATTGTTCGACCTATCACTCCATGTCATGATTTTTGTGTGCTTATTCTTATACTTACCACATATACTCGCACTGAACTTTTGTATGTACATTTCAGCTCATGTACGCTTGTTCTTAGAAAAGTAAAACGTTGCTCATCCTCGAAAACCTGGACTCTGTTCTAACTCGTTCTCGGACACTTTCTAAACGTCTCAATTTACTTGTCTAAAAACACAATGGACCCGCAACTACGACCTCGGTTCTTCGACGCTGACCCAAAATCCACAGATGCAGCAAAACGCTGGAATAACTGGTTTCGTACCTTCGAAACCTATCTGAAAACTGTCGAATCTTCTAAACCCGACAGACTTGAAACTCTCGTCCACTTTGTGGATCCGTTAGTATACGATCACATTGCTGATCATACCGACTATGAATCTGCAATCGCCACGTTACGGAAATTATATGTCCGTCCAAAAAATGTCATATATGCACGCTACCTGCTACAGACCTACAAACAGGA